TCAATTAAATTTTTTTCATACTTTGTATCTAGCAACAGTTCCTGACTGCAAATCTGACTCAATATTTCCTAAAAAATAAAACGTATAACAAGAAATGTTAAAAATGTCGTTTATGGCCCCTTCTTAGGGAAGAACTTGGGGAGGGAAAAGGGGGCCGTAAATGACCATCAAACCCAAAAAAGCCAAAAAAACAAACCTGGATCCAAATAAGCAATGCTCATCAAAAAACCAGGTCCAGTACTTTAAAAATAAATTTTAAAAATATTCAAAAAAATTTTAAAAACTACGTACAATGCCCAAAGTTTCCTCAAACTAAAAATTGACTAAAAAACAAAAAAATATTTTAAAAACGAAATTTAAATTTTCACCTCTCCATCAGTTTCAGGAATAGCCACCATATAATCCAAAGCTTCCTCCTCTGTGCAAATAGACTCAGTCCTTTCATTTTCCGAATTTTGTTGTTGTTCTCTTTTATTTTTTGTTTGCGATTCGGACACTTCTTGTTGGTTATTATTTATTCCAGTCATTTTTAGCAGAGTTTTTTTGATGTCAAAAGGCACAGAATTTAAATTTTCTTGTTTAAAATAATAAAAAAATGTAAAAAAAGTAAATTAGTGATTCAAGGTGGAACAGAAAGAGAGGAAAAAACGTTCTTAACATTATTGGAAACAATTTGATAAGAACACATATTGATTCCCCTACTATTAAAAATGTTGCATTTGACAAAAATTAGAAAAAAATACATAATTTTTCTAAGAAAAAATTTCTAAAAAACTAGTTATACTCAAAATTAAAAATTTTAAAAATCAAAAAAATCAGAATGCCAACAAAAATAGAAAAATAATTTTTTAAATATTTTTAAACTAATGATCCCTAAAATCAAGGCAATTTTGATCAATATTTTTGTTACAATTATAAAAAATTATCAGTATTATCCTTATAGGGGAATTATAACTGTAATCTTTGAACAAAAAGCATCTATTTTTATATAAAAATATTAAATTTATCATAATCAAAAATTATCAATTTTAAAAGGTAGTTTGATTGTCGGGTACCAAATAATTTTAAGTGAACAATTTTAGTTCAATTATTATCTTTATCATTCCATTAAAATGTTAAACATTTAGGAAAAAAAATATTTTTTACGATTTTAAGGGCCAAAAATAAAATATTTACTAAATTATCTAAATAATACACTGCTCCACATAATTATAAGTCCACCCATTTTTTCGGGATTTTTTGACTCCCAGTGATCCAAATTTTTTGAAAATTTAGAAACACGCCTTTTAGTGAATAACTAACAAGGTGTGATTCGATTTTTGGCTGAATTTTTATTTAAAAAATTTTTAGACCAAAATATGTGTTTTCGGCCTCCACAAAATTATAAGTCCACTTTTCAAAAAAGATATTTCCAAGTTTAGGAAAAATCTACAAAAATTCTAGCAACAATATATAATGATATTATGAAAAAATAAAAAAGAACTAGACCTATAACTCTACCCGGAGCCGAGATCCTGAGACCTCAAAAATCAACGTAAAACGGGAGTAAGGCTCTTTAAAAAAATTTTTCGACCCCTTATCGATTATTTTCAATTTTGATTTTGGGCTCATTCGACAGCCCTTGAAATTTGCTACAAGATAGCAATGGTCTTATTTCTCAGAAAAATTCCATAGAGAGTCACAAGACGATAAACTTTCTAGGTGTCATTAGAGGGCATTTTATGGGGCATTTAGACGATTTTTGCTGCATCAGAAGATTAACGGCTCGTATCTTTCTAATCGAATTTTCTATAAAATATTATTAATGTTATCTTGTAGCAAATTTCAAGGGCTGTCGAATGAGCCCAAAATCAAAATTGAAAATAATCGATAAGGGGTCGAAAAATTATTTTAAAGAGCCTTACTCCCGTTTTACGTTGATTTTTGAGGTCTCAGGATCTCGGCTCCGGGTAGAGTTATAGGTCTAGTTCTTTTTTATTTTTTCATAATATCATTATATATTGTTGCTAGAATTTTTGTAGATTTTTCCTAAACTTGGAAATATCTTTTTTGAAAAGTGGACTTATAATTTTGTGGAGGCCGAAAACACATATTTTGGTCTAAAAATTTTTTAAATAAAAATTCAGCCAAAAATCGAATCACACCTTGTTAGTTATTCACTAAAAGGCGTGTTTCTAAATTTTCAAAAAATTTGGATCACTGGGAGTCAAAAAATCCCGAAAAAAATGGGTGGACTTATAATTATGTGGAGCAGTGTATTAACATAATCCACGTTACATAATTTAATTTATGTTTTTATTTTTTTTGAAGAAAAGGAATGTTTAGTCCTAGTCATAGTTAGTTTAGAAATGTCAATACTGGGTATTTGTAAAGTTTAAATAAAAATAAAAAAATAACAAAAATTCTTTTCATTTTTACTGTGAGAAAAAAGGGGGAAAAAGTGAGTGCTTCCCGAGTGATTAATTTTAGATTACTCATAAGAAGGGATTAAAATGGGATAAAAATCGAAATAAATCGGCTTTAACATGCTTCAATTAAAACAAAATTTTAATAAATTTAATAAAATATTCTACCTATTCTATGTTGCTGGTCATTTGTTTGTTTAATTCTAATAGTTGGTTGGACTGTTAATAACAATTGCGATCGCTTCTGATCTCCGTTATTCACGCCACCCTTCTTTTTTGTACCTCTTCCTGGAAAAAGACAAACAAATAAAAATTTTTTTTTATTTTTTAGTAATTGAAAAAAGGGCCCACGTAATGCAAATAACCAGTTTTCCTTCCTCTCTCTCCCGAAATCCAATAAAAATTTTGGGCGCACTTGATCTCTCAGCGGAACTTACCCACACACTCTTTTTACAAAACAAACAAAAAAATAATTTAAAAATTTCAAAATTGCACAAAAACAAAGCAATTTTTAACCAAAGATTGAAAATTTAATCATTCAATTTTAAATTGAATCAATTAAAAAAAAATATTTTATAATTGAAAACAGGAAATTTAAGAAGTTTAAGAAGCTTTGGAAATTATAAAAATTAAATTCTAGTCAGTTGGGGGGATTAAGAGGGAAAAAGTTTGGAAGACTTCTAGGACCGGATTTCAGAGGAGGGGGGGGGGGGGTTGGGTAAATCGTGAGATATCTCTGTGACTCAAATCTAGGATAACCTTCTACATTCAATTTACTCCAAAATATCAATAAATAAAAAATTCTAACACCTTTATCAACTTCTTGATCATTTAACATTCCATCACGGCATGTTCCATAGGCACTAGGATTTTGTTTAGAAATTGTTGATAATTTTGATAAAGAGGAGGATGAGTCAAATAACCATGATTTTTCATCAATCTTTGGCTCATCTCGTTTCCAAAGATTCATTTTAGAAAATTTTAAAGATTGAAATTTAAAAAATCAGGGTCAAAAAATATTCAATGAATTTGAAGAAAATCAATTAAGATAGGTATCTTAACAATATTGTATGAGAATAAAATATATAATGGTTGATAAAATTTACAAAAAAAACTGATAAGAATTATAGAATCAAATAATAAAAATTTAATTAATTCTTTGGGGTTTGAGCATGATGCAAAAGCTAAATTTATTTTAATTATTTTTAAAATTTTTTTTAAATTTTCGCTACACCGACACCTTCTAAATTCATTTTTTGTTAATATTTTTTTAATTTTTAAAATCTTCCATTGTACAAAAAATTTCATTTTTTTGCACTTTAAAATATACAAAATCTCATCATCTCTTACGCACATATTTTTCATCTTCACTCAATTAGGGGGCCATTTTTTTAAATTAAAAAGAGAATTTGGTGAATTCAAAAATAGGGGGAAAAGGTGACAGCCGATGGGAACGCATCGTCATAGGAGGGGAGAACGTTCTCGCACGTCTTGGGAGGCTTTCGTTGGTTTGCGCGCTCACATCAAAACTCGCTGTGTTTTTGGTCCTCCCTCACTCAAATCAACCAGTAATCAACACAAGATCAATGCCCTCATCACAGGAAAAGGCTGGCGCAGTGATCGCTACTAAAATTAGCTATCGACACCCGAGAACGTTGACACCAAAAGAAAAAACTGCATTATCTGAAAACAAATTTAGAGCGACAAAAACTAAATCTGCTATTTCAAAATTGTATTTTTCGGTATTATTATTTATCTTCACATGTGTGGGTGTTCCAGAATTTCAAAATAATGGTTCGCCGTTCTAAATATTTAATTAAAATATTTATTTTATTTATCAATTTACTTGAATATTTTCAAGTCTATGCTGTACCTTCTCCTGTTGGACCTTGCACTATAAATTCGGGAATTGATGGATTTCCACAAATTTCACTTCCAAAATTACCCGGAACAAATCCTAGGCTGAAATGTACTGATAAAGGTGATTAATCTTTAGAAATCAAGAATATTTTTCTCTGAAAAATCTAAAGAAATCTATAAATTGAAGGATATTTCGAGTTGATACAATGCTTTTCGGATTATTGCGTTTGTGTGGATCCAAGCACAGGTAGCTTGAAAAACTAATGAACGTATACGGATGATCTCCCTTTAATGATAATGATTTAATACTTAAAAATAAAAGGTGCTGAAGCAACTTCTACAAAGACTTTATCAAATCGAATAAATCCAGAATGTGGTAGATGCTACAGATCATTAGCCCGTTATTACAAGGACAGCGATGATTTTCTGTTCCGTCCGTTGTGCGATCCAAAGACTGGTACTAAACTGTAGAAGGATTAAAAATTAATTTTTTCAGGTAACTATCTCCCCAAGCAGTGCAAAGATGAGAAACATTGTGAGTGCCATCCGTAATTATCTAGTATTTTCTATAAACACAGGTTTCTGTGTGAATGTACTTAATGGTCTCAAATTGAGCAAGGATGAAAAACCAAATTCTCAGACTACTTGTGATGATGTAATCTCTCTTAATCAACCTTAAATCCCCTTTTAAATTTCATCTTAAAGGGGCATTTTGATTTTTCAATTGGCGGAGGAATGCTTACCAAGAGTGAGAAATTACCAAGTGGTATAACAATCGAACAACGTATTCCGATTGGAAATCCTCTTTGCAAATTGCCTAAAGACTCAGGTGAAAACCGTTGCAATGGTAAAGGAAAAGGAGTAAAGGTAGGTTAAAGCTAGAAATTCCGAAAATATTTTAATAAATAGTGGTATTTTGATGTTGATACATTTGAATGTTTAGCCTTTAGCTATAACGGGTGTGGTGGAAATAAAAATCGGTTTGATTCAGTAACTGAATGTTGGGATCAGTGTAGACTAGGTAGAACGAAAATTTTTAAATTAAGGCATATTTACATAAATGTTTTTAGCGGATATGGCCGGATGCGCAGGGATGACACTTCCTGCAACAAATACTCATGGACATACAATTGTATGTTCCAGTATGGAAGCAGGAAGTGCCCCTATACAAAGCTGTCCGGCTGGTTATCGTTGTACAATGCTTGCATTTATGGGGTTTATTATAACTATTTTTAATTATTAAAAAACTAAATTTTGTGAAGTGTTTGTTGCCATTCCGCTACTCAAGGTGCGATTATACCTTTTACACCTTTCTTACTTCTGAAGCTTGTTTAAGATCTTTATGAACGAAACTACCGACCTTCTTGTGTCAATGGAAAGCATCCCCTATTAATGGAAGCTGGAGGGACTCCTGCAAACCTAATAGGTACGGAAAAGACATTATAATCTCAAAGTTTAGATTCAGGCAAAAAGTGCACTGATAACTTTTGTCCTTCTAATTCAAGTTGTGTTGAAAAAGAAATTTTTGCTCATTGCTGTCCTCGATGAGGATTAAAGAAAGTAACGATTCTCTGAAAATTTTAGATAAAACAATATTTTCACTTTCTCAAAATTCTCGGTTTTTATTATTTTGATGAATACTTATTTTTCCTTGACAAATAAGCTTGTTTTTAAAAGTTTTAATATTACAAATGACCCAGAACCCTTAATAAGCTAACCGGCTGTCAATAAAAAAGTAACGTTTACATTCTTTAAATGACCAACGTTTTGCTTCCTTTGCTTTGCCCTTTTTTGAAGGAAAGACAAGTGCATTTCCGTCTGCCATTTTGAACAATCAATCCTTTTTTATGCTTTGAAAAACTGCTCCCGACGGAGATGGATGCGAAGAATGGGCAAAATAAAGAAAAGAAAGTGTTTTTTTGGAAATGAAAAAGTGTCGAGCAGCTGCCAAACCCTTTGCCCTTTCTTTTTCACGCAAAAGGATATTTTAAACTAAAAAAACAACACCAGAAATGACTGAAATTTTTGTTTAACAAGGCATTCACTTTAATGCCAAAGTTTGCTTTTTAAAAACAGATGGGTTTAGTATATCGGACATTTAAATTTCATCATATACATACATATTCCTCTTAACATTTTTAAAAATAATTTAAAATTTAAATGATACAAAGTGCCGAACTTCCTTGTTCAGTGAGTTTCTTAATTTAACTTAATCTATTCTTCCTTAATTTACAGCTTAGACCCAAAAAACTAGACATTCGTCGACTATTGCTTGCCCACTTTCATTGGTTTATAAATTTTTTAAAGTTAATTTTGAGTTACCAAAAATTACAGGAAATGCCTTATTTGTTCCTTGTTGATAAGCTTATGTTCTATTCACATTAGTTATTGCCAGATTTATGGGCCTAAAGGTATTCAAGACGCATTAAGGTATGCATGCCTCAATGACTCGTATTTCTAAATAAAATTTTAATGTGAATTAAGTCAATCAGCTCCTGGGCCCTGCTCACATGGATATGATCTGATTCCAATGGCATTAGCTGGATTACTATATGCAATTTATCTGAGCGAATGCTGGTTTGAAACTATCTGACCCTTTTTATTATCAGAATTATATCAAAATAGGCATTATCGAACGCTTTTGGGTATTATACCTCGGATGGGTGCCAGTCAGGCTAAGGACCTCGCATCAGCAATGAGAGATGCCGTCCCAATTGTTTGGTGGAAAAGTACGAGCTATCACTATTTGCGTAGAACTCGACGAATAATTCGGTTAATATGATCGATTAACATATCAATGAATTCATTATATCCAGATACCGTAATGGTGATGCAACCACTCGAATCCAAGTTTATTATGAAAGAGTAAACTCACACCAATCAGGCAATGTTTTCCTTTCTGAACAATGTGGGCATAAGGCAAGGTGGATCAAAGTTTAATTTATCAACATATCCCTTAAGGATCTAACTAAAGAATTAGATGGTCTTGAAGATTTTGCTGTCGTACGCATGCGTTTTACCAAGGGTTTTTTATTTGCAACAGTAGAAGCAGCTAATGAATTTGAGGAACAACGTACACGCTTTTTTACTGAAAATGAAATGCTAGATGAGTATATGGAGGCTAGTAATTGTATTAGTAATATTGAAAACACTTTGAATTAAGGTCCGAGAAGGACTTGATTTGGCCAACCTGCCATTCCTCGAAAGGGTATTAGTTATCAGAGACAAAACTAATGTCCTGAGACAGCAACGTCGTCGGAAAGCTCAGATTCTGAATAATAATAACAATAATTTGACAAGGGCTCCAGATGTTTTAAATCCCACTCATGTCCAAGAACAACAAGAGGAGCAACACACATTACTTTCACCTCGCACCTCATCATTAAACGATCCTTGGTGGCTTTCCCCATGGGCATTCTGGCCAGCAAGTATTTTTCTTCTTAGCTGGCCATTACGAGTATTATCTTAATAAAGCATTATTTAACACTTAACTCAATATTTCTAGATGTTAGCTGAATATAAAACTGGTTATGTACATCTCCAAGTGTGTAAATTATTTGGCACCAACTATTTGAGGTAGCTACTGTTAATAATTTGTTCGTAATTCCATATTTTATTTAGCCCTTCTAGCATTAATTATACTGGTCCATTAACTCGCACATCAACGATGGATAGTCATGAGTTAAGCATGGCAAACCGTCAGAACTATGTTGTTGTTCCAAGCTATAGTGAAGCGATATTGCTTGACCCATATAACAGCGCTCAAATGCCTAATTCTGGAAGATCCCAGGTGACTGAAACGAACATATATTTGAATTTTCGTTATAGTTCAATCCAACTTCACTGCTACGTCAGTTATTTTCTTCGCCTCATAGGTCATCAACAGCTCAACAGGAAGTTAGACAAGGTCAATATGGGTCAACAGGCCAACATTTTATGTTAAGGACGGCTTATGGCGAAGGTTCACCAAAACCAATGAGACCCTCACGCAGCGCAACCATAGCTTGCTTCAATTCTAATGAAAAATTACAAGTACCTAACAATGCAACGCGTAGACATCTTCCCCGTCCATCAACATTATTTGACAGACGACAAATCCAATTCCCACGTTCTATAACATTTTCAGAAGGAATAGGTCCGAGATATAATAGTCTATCTAACGAACAGCAAAATGTTGGAGAATGTTCGGACAGAACACCTCTTTTACAACAACATTTAACAATGGAAATAAATGAGCAACCCCCTCAGGATGGGGAACCTCCTCCGCCATATGAGGCAATTTTAAATTACAATCCATTTTGATTATTTAAAACTTGATAGATTGCCCTACGTTATTGTTCGCCAATCTATCAAAGAATACAACAATCAGCTCATTCAATATCTTCGCTTTTTACATGGTCAAGAAGGGTGTCTCATACTTAGATTTGAAAAAAACTTGTTAAAGTATTTCAATAGAATTTTATTTGACAGCTCAAGCTCTAATGAAAACTGCTATAAAATATAAATATTTGTAGTTGAAAGCAGATCTGCTCATGGACACAGATTTTGGTATAGGATACAAACGGAGATCCGCAGGTATCTATTATATGTATTCACATCCATGAGCAGGTCTGATGTAAGGTTAATTTTAGTGCTAAAATTGAATTAGAAATTCTTTAAGGAGTTCAACTACAATAAATACAATCAAATGGAAAAATAATATATTTAAATCTTTAAATAATTAAAATGGAATTTTTAGTTAATTAATGAATGGCACATTAAAAGATTATAAGTGAAGATATTAGCTGTTTTTAAGTGAGCGTAGATGTGGATAGATTGCTTTTACATAGTTTTAGGAATAAAAGACAGATTTATGATTAAGTTAATCTTAGAGGGTTGGCGGTTTCGGGTATCTGGAACCGAAAATCCCAAATTCTCGGTTCGGATATCGGTTCAGATATCAGAAGATTTCCCAGGAACCGCCCACCTTGGTATTGGGGAGAGGATGAGCAAAAAATCTAGGTATATGGCTTTCAAACAAGTCTATTTTTACGTTCATAAAATGCAACAAGATCATAAATAAATTTGTATTGTTGGGGATTTTTGACAAGTGACCTTAAGTTTAAAAAAGTTAAATAATTAAAAGTAAAAACAAACATCCGTTGATATCTCAGGTCTCTAAGAAGTTGTGCAACCTCCAAGGTCTGAACGATAAAATATAAATTATCTATGTATTTTTAAACTCACAATATTATTTTCCATGCTACGGATTAGCACTTCAGAGAGCAAATAACTTAAAAAAGAGTAATTAAGGTAACTGAATGTTTAACTCCTTAAACATCCTTTCCCTTCTCCCCCAAAAATCAAAAAATTAAAATCAATCCTTACAGTCCACTATCGCTACCTCCATCGGTACATTGGATAATAGTCAGAGGTCCCTGGCTTAAATCAAAAAACATTAACGTATCTAACTAGGCATAGAAACCTAGCATTTTGTTGTTGTACATCAATGCTTTGTTGCTGATGTTTAGGTGATGCGTTAGCTGATTGTTTGATTGAAGACCCATTTTGATCAAAACGAAGTTTCTTTCTGGCCCAGCCACCACTCTCTGAAGACTGAGCTCGTTCACAGCGAGAAGTGTCACTTGACTTTAAAAACGAGTTAGTTAAATAAGTCAAGTTTTAGTTTCAAACCCGGCTGTCTTTAGATGTATTAGAGTTGGATTTGCTGACAACAACTGAGGATGGTGTCCCTTTTGCATCATTTAAATCTTTGTTGTGATCCTCTTTTGTTTTGATCTCATTTTGTATATGTCTCTTAAGACACGAGGCTGCATCAATAAGTCCAATAAAGGTATCCTAAACATAGAAAATTTGAGAAAATCTGCTGAAACAAAGCTCCACCCTTACAGGTGCCAATAATTTCTAATCAAAAACCCCTTTAAGATTAAGTACCATAGATGATGGAACTCCTTGTTCAGTAAAATCAGCACAATATAAATGATAAATTGTACGTCGCTCGCCATGTCTAGCAAGAGTAAAAGTAGTTGTTTGTTGAAACATCTGCATTTGAGCTGGCTGGCTGACATTCTTAAGGCGGAGGAAAAAATCTCCAACGGTTAATTTAGCTTTAGCCTGGCTGGGAATATAACTTGGGATTGTGTCGTTTTTGTTGACCTGGTGAGGATTGACCAGCATTACTAAAATTTATATTAAAATTAACACAATATTATGCTAAAAACCAATTAATCTTGCTCCAGTTTGCCAAACCATCTGCCAGAAATCCTCAATAGTTTTCTGTATGGGTGCTTGAGAGATAACATAACGCAATTGTATGTTCCTTCCAATGGGAACTACAACCTCTGAAGCATTAATGTAACCTTAAAGTTTGTTTATCAATTCAAGATCTAGGGAATTCAGACCATCTGGATTCGAATTTGTAACAGCCAATTTTAATCTATTTTCATTATACGGATAGATTTTGCTGCCTCTATTTCTAACCAAATTGTGCGATCGGACAGCGACTGAATAGTCAGCTGATAAACTCTTTGCTGGAATTCCGGAAAATTCAATTTCTGCAAATTCAGGCAAAGATTTTGATTGATCAACACTGCTATTGACACCATTATTTGTCTAAATTTTGATAAAATATTGTTTATTATAGCTCAAAATATAGACCATTTGCGTTTCCGAATGTGACGAAGTTGCATTCGATTTTGGACTAGATCGCCGACTTTCTTCTTGTAAAGGGATAGCTGCCGGGGAAGGTGGTGAATTGGTTGTTGGGGGGTAACCCTGTGCGGTAAGTTGAGGGGGAATTTGAAGGGCTGATACATGTCCCAATTGGGGTGATTGCTGCAATATTTGTTCCATAATTGATGTAGATGAGGGTGGCGGCTGGACATACGAAGCAGCATCTGGCGGTATTGGATAGATTATAGTTTGTTGCTGACCATTCTCGTCGATTACTTGTCCTTGAGAGAAGGTCCCATTTCTCAGAGCGATTGGACTGCTTTGTAGATAAAAGGATGTATTGCTACTGCTTCCAACGTCTGGATTAATATTGTGATGAGATGTGGTCGTAGATGAAGGTGGGCAATAAGGGGGCAACAAATTAACATTATTCCCAGCGATTGGAGGTGGGTAAACAACAGAGGAAAGCGACGTTTGGCCTGGAACAATACGATGACCTCCAGAGCCATTCATTTGAGAGGGAGGAAGTAAAGGTGTTTGAGGCTGTGATTGAGGTTGTTGTTGCTGTAATAATTGAAAGCTTGCAAGTTGTTGCTGCTGATTTAAACGTGCGGAATGTAGATCTGGTGTAGATGTAAATATCTTGCGCGTTAGCGAAAAATTGTTGACATCGGCAACAAAATTATTAGCATTTAATGCCCCTCCAATTTGATGTTTTTTGCATTTAGCTCCAGATGCTGCTGAAACACTCTTTCCCAAAGTATTAATTTCAAGACTGGAACCAATCTAAAAAAAGGAAGGGAGGTTAAAAAACAAGGCAAGTTTTACTTTATTAAGTCGACGTCTTTCAGTCAGCATTCGTTTAAGCACTTCATGCTGTTCATGGCGTAACCAATCCTCTTGACTTCCATTTGAAGTTTTTTGTTGCTGCACTGCTGTGCCAGGGAATTGTAGAGGAACTGCTGGCACATAAAATGTTGATGCACTGCTTGAACATGTGCCAGCGACTGGAGGCGAAACCTTATCAGTAACATTTGTGATCTGAGTCCGAATAAATGGAAGAGCTGAGGAACTGTTTGATCCACCAGCCATAAAATCAGTTGAAGCTGGAGGCAATATTTTGCCTATAGAAATTGAACGGGATGCAGAAAGGGCTGCTAAATAATTACGAATGCAATACATAACTCTAATATTTTTACAATTAGATTGAGGAGGCCGAATAGGATTGCAGGATTGTATGGAATTAACAGTAGATTGGCTATTCTGATCTGTACGAATTGTTAACTGAGGTGTTGAAGGTTGGGGTGGTATGAACTGTGAAGCACCTCCAGCTGTAAATTCAGAACCTACAATCATTTCAGAATTTGGACGTACGGAATTAACCTTAATATATTTTGAATTTTCAAAAGTATTTTTGGTAATACATTTGTATTGGATCGACGTGTAAATGAGCCTGGTGCTTGGCTGAATGAGGGAAGGGCACCCTGCAAATTCTGAACGCTTAATCTGGCACTTCTTTGTTGTAGCGCGTCTGTACGTGCATGTCTCCACTTCCAACTAAGTACAGTAGATACGTAATTACACTAAATTTTTTAAATTAAATTTCTTAATAATTCAATAAAATAGAAAGATAAGCACCATTTCATTGTCCTCCTAAAAATTAAAAATCGTAATTACAGATTAAACTCGAAAAAACTCACAAAATAGAAGACAGATGTAACTAAATTTTCCCCACATTTTATTGATAATTTTCGTTTATTTGCTACAAGCTCGCGCACTTCTTCCCATCTGAAATTCATAATGAAAACTGATGATTTTGAATTTTCCTGAACCTAAATTTTTGTGTTGTACCACTCGGTCTACGAATAACAAAAATCCAATCAAGTGAACAACCAAGTGTGATTTCTTCGAGCGAATTTCCATCCTAAGAATTTAAGGTAATTTCAACAAGGGCTTTAAGGCTTTACTCACTTTACAGAAGAAAGTTTCTTCACCGTAACCCTCGCATTGTTGAACTTCCACCTAAAGATTCAGATAATTATACTCGGAATTCAAAAAGCTACAAAACCCACAATATAAAGAAGGGCAGCATAGGCAGGTTGCATTGTATGAAGTTTTTCATATGTCTAAAGACGATTTTAAAGTCATAAATTATTCTAAATTAATTTAGACTTGCCGTCAAAATGCGCAAATAAGTTTCATCATTATTAATCTTAGGATTTCGGCACATACTCTATAATGAATTTTATATAGTTTCAATCAACTAATAATAATTTGTATCTACCTGGGGCAACAGACTGAGCATCTTGAGGTGTTGAACGGTTGGCCTAAAATCGGGAAACTCGATTTGGAGCTGATAAGCTGCTGAAATAGTTAAATCAACGATAAACTATTTAAAGGCCAATTAAGGCAAACCAAGATTTATGCACTTGTCCAAATCGACTGAAAAACGTTCGCCTTGAAGCACATCCCACTTTAGTAACGTGTAATAAATAGATCTGAAAGATGGCTAGCAAAAATTTATGTTTCATTAAATCCAACTTGCCTGGAAACTGAGTCATGAAGAGTGAAAACCTTAAACATTCCAAAAAGTTAGCTTTAATTACTCTAATAAATCTAGAGCTCACATTGGAACATGCATGAAGTATCGCTAGGTTTACTGCCCATTTTTGGCCCCTGCGACAAGCCCAACGCTCAAGCTGGCGTCGGATTGGACGGCCTGGCTCAATCCACCTCATCATCCTCTTCTCAGTATCCGTTGCCTTCATTTGATATTGAAGACCAAAAATTTTTGGCTAAAGTTCTTGTATATTTAAATTTTTAGTAATATTTTGCCTGTCCTAATCCTGTCTTTTCTCCAAGATAACGAAAAACATCAGCAGATGTTGATGCACTGTTCAGTGTACACTGAAACAAAATGTACATTTATTAAGATCAGGCTCATGTCTATCAGGGGTGTGTCTTTCGCCAAAATTTCGGTTTTGATGGTCCGTCTTTCGCTTTTTAAAATCCGTTCTGGCACACCCCTGTCATCTATAAAATTTTACCTGTGCCATGGGAAAGTCGCCAATGAAGACAGTGAGAATCTGTAGGGATAAATTTTTAATGCATTTTTAGTCAAATTAGGTCTCGAAAATGACTTCTTATCGAGATTCAACTTATAGCTTTTAAAAAAATTTTTTCGAAATTATTACATAAATATCCTCGCTAAGTTCATATCGTCCACTAGATCGTCCCAACTTTAATTTCAAAGGCATCCGAAGCATTTTTCAAATTTAATAAATTATCCTCATTCCTTTAATTAAAAAAATTGGAAAGCTGAACGTCAAAATATTTATAAAAACGCGTTGATCAATGCTGATATATAACTCTCTCATTGCAATTTATACAAATAATGTGAAATAAAAAAAGAGGAGCAGGGGACGGGGCAATTAATGAATGATGATCATTTCTATGAGATGTAAAAATGACACGCAAACATTAAATATAATCATAGGAATGTAAATAAAAATATTTAACAATAAGTTTAAAATATGTTAAACACACACACACACACACAAATATTTTTAAAAAATTAGTGGCAATGAATGGATAAAAATTCCTGGTTAAATTCCTAATACCTAAATATTTAATTAAAAATTTGATCAAGATTTTTATAAAAATATAAACAAAATTTTTTGACAGCGTATCTGTTTTATCTGGTCTGGTTTATCTATCGAATTCTGTCTTTATTAGACAATTTTCTTGGCTAAATTACCATATTTGACGATTAATTTCACTGAGGAGTTAATTATTCGATGAAGGGGAATTACTATTCGAGTTTTGAAATTTCAACGGGCAACAGAGCACCTGGGGGAGGGAAATTGCTTCAATACATACCTGGGATGGTGAATTAATTAAGAGTGGCGAATTATTCGAGGGTGGGGGAGAATACTCTATTAAGAATTGAAGGTGGCGAACTACATATTTATTAAATTTGGTATTAGAAAACGTTTAATAATTATAACCAGCCGGTAAGATAAAATGATACTTTAAACAAAATATTTTGAGAAAAAATTAAAAGTATTCGAGATTATTCCTCTAATTTTTCTAAATTTTATTGCCGTACATTTTTAATTTTTTAATGTTACTAATTTTGGAAGACATTTTAAATTATAAGAATATTTTTAGTTGATTGAGTAAATATTGGTTAGTAAATTCCAGAGGGGAATTAGAGCAAAAATATTTACGGAAAAGAGAAATTCATAAAAACATGCAAAAGATAAGAACAAGAAAAAAATATAAATTCCTAAAAGATGAACACAAATTTGGGGAAAGAATATTTGGCAGTAAATATAATAAAACTAGATAAAAAATTTTTATTTTTCTAATAAATTGCGCATAGCTTCGCTAGCTTCTGAAAGCTTTAAAAACCGATATAACTTTGCGACAATCAACAAACAAAAATTTTTTTTATTTTCAGTTGTAGCAATCGAATTTACATATTTAACTAAACGACAGAGGGGGAAAAGACAAAAATTCCATAACCCCTCACATTCCCTTTCTCTCAAATAGTTTACCCCACATCATATAGCGCATTCCTAAATTCACATAGCCGCAGCGCTTCACAGCACAATCATCTACAAACATGGTAATACTTATGGTTGTTGACTGCTCCGCATTCCATCGACCGGACGACCACTTTTGCCCGTTGAATAAAGGGTTTGGTAGAAGTGAAGCAAAAGTGGCTCTGCTAGAAGGCAAACAGCTAGTAGTAGTGAAAAGCGAGCGCAGCGATCGACAACGATGAAAATGCGTGGGAAATCAATGAAGCAAATATTATATAAAGTCGATGTGAAAATATTTTTGGAGGTAATAATAGTAAGGTCATTTATAAAATACTACTAAATATCGTTTAATGAAATAATCTTGCTGGTCACTACCAATTAAAATCATATAAAAATGCACTTTATCAAAAGATAAGGAAAATTAAAATTGTTTGTCTTGAAGCTTTCTCAAATTGTAGTATAAAATTTAAAATTAACACGAGCTTAGGAATTAAATTTAATAAAGAAGGGGACTTAAACTATAAAATAGATCCCCTTCTGCCAATGATGAATTGTGCGACGAAGCGATTGGACTTTTCCCAGTTATTATAGGATTACAAGGGGAGATCTAGGCCCTTAGGCACTCCCCAACACCGAACACATCATGTGTGTTCCAGAATTAATAAAAAGATTTTATTCAAGCAATTTTCTCTTTGAAATAAAAAAATAACAAAACAAACGGAAATTTTGTATAAAAAATGTTCCAGAAAATTGTAGACACAATTATACATTTAGAGGAGGTTGTAATAAACACTGAAGATGGAGTCCAAAAATGTCTTAAAACTCTAAAAAAGTACCTAAATATCAGAAAAAACTTCTTGAAATCAAAGACTCCATCCTCTAATTTTTTACTAAAATGTCTAAATATTTAAATAAAACGATTTTTTGGTAAAATTGGGATAAATCACAGCGGAAACTAAATAAGCCGGAATGCGCTTAATAAATTAGCTAATAAAATTACTTTTGATATTATATCAGAAACGAAGGTTCATCCAGGGCTGGGCTAATTTCGCATCTTCCAGCGCAAAGTTTTAATTTCGCTTTTTAATTTTAGATTTAGTCTAGCCCTGGTCCATACTTAATAAATAAAGGATAAAGTATGTATAAATGAAAAAAGTGACTGCCATACATAGTATAAACGATCAAAAATAAGATTAGAGGCATCACAGGATTCTAGAGAATCAGAAATTAAAGACCTTGACCTTGATTTTGGTTGAGGACCTTGACTAAATTCTTGACAATGGGTCAAGGAAAAATCAAGGAACACCGAAAAATGCTTTGATCTTAACTCTGGTTTTAAGAAAAATCAAGGACTGGATTCAGATCTAGCCTGATCTTATTAGGATTCATTCCGAAAATTTTGTTTGGCAGCCATGGGAGAAAGAAAAAAAGTGATAATATGCTAATATCATTGAAAAACATTAAAAAAAGGTGAGTTTTGGTACTTTAAAAACAAGAATAATATTTTTAAATTAAATTAAAAAATACCAAAATACAGAGAAAGAAAAGAATATTCCATTTTTAAAAAAGAGTACCTAATCCATTGAAGAAATGAGTCTGAAAATAACTTGATTGATAAAGTTCAAACGTCAACCAAAGCAATGAATTTCATTTGTCTTTCTGAAAAAAAAATAATTTTACCAAATTTTGAACATAAAAACGACTCCTGGACAGTTGGGGAGTGGACACATGGAAAGTAAGTGGACAATTGGGCAGGGAACACAATTTTGCAAATCTATTGGAATGGGCGTGATGCTTATCCAAAACCTAGAGCAATGGGGTTTTGCTTTTAGCGGCACATCCACAAATAACCCTATTCGTAGCTGTGTCCAATGCCCAAGCTCCCGAGGGTCCACTCCCCAAATATCCGGACACGAAAAAAACTAACGTCACTGCCAGAACTCGTTTTCGCAGCCTTCTTGTTCTTGAAACCAAATCCACTGCTTTTCTTCTTTCCAGCAGAATGAGCAGCCTGTTCACGGCCCTTTTCGCGCCATCGACCAATGTGGAAGGTAGAGAAATTGAATAACATCCAAAGTTGAATTAATACAATTGCAATTAAACTATTTATGCTAAAAATTAATAAAAATATTTAAATTAAAAATTAATTTTCAAACCGAATAATTTTTGTGTTAAAGTTTCCAGCTTCAAAATCAATAAAAACAACTTCACTTTGTCGGTGTCCATACCAGAGAGCAATGACACCAAGCACAATCGAAACTAAAAAATGATTTGATTATAAATTTCGGGATCAATACAGAAAGTTAACACCAGAAGATTTGACCAGATTTGACTCGCAGAAGTCACCCAGAGGTTAACTCCAAATATTGGACAGATAAAGGGATTGTGGGATTAAGAGGCATGAAAAGGAATTTCACTCGAAAACTGTCAGATAAGTCAGAAGGAAACAGGAAATCCGCCCAAAGGGAACAGAAAAAACTATCAGCCCAAATATTTGGAGTTAACCTTCAGGGACAATAGGTCGCTAGTGGGGTAGACCTTTTGGGTGTTGTACCTTTTGGAGTGGACCCATAAATTCTAATAAATATTTAAAAATTTACCAAGACGAGTAATCAGAAAAACAAAATTCCATGGCTTGAATCTAAAATTTTATAATTAAAATTTAAAAAAGTATTTAAAAAATACGCAGTAGAAGCAGGGAGAACTTTTCCAGAAAAATAAAGAAGACGGCTTGTATGGAAGATTCCTTGAGACAAGTATTCAAAAGACAATAAAACGAGTCCAAGACGAGTAAAACTAAAAAATTTAAATAAAAAACGTTGAAAGAACAAACTTTGCGAAATAAAAGAAACAAGAAGCCGTTATGAAAATTGTGAGGTAAACAAGTCTATTGAAGATTTCCTCGCGTTTCAATTTTTGAAAATAAAATTCTGGAATTTGATGAAGCCAAAATGATATCTTGAAAGAAAAAAAGGTTACTTTGTCCATATCCCACCCCTAATATTTAAAAAAGAAATTAAAAACCTGAAAAATGTAGTAAAGTTTGGTAGAGAGGGAAAAATGCCGATGAAGTTCTGGATAACCAGTCCAAATTCGTGTCTAAAATAAAAAAATTCTAAGAAATTTAAAGTTAAACGTTACCAAATCTTTGTGAATTTCCATTTCATTTAAAATGCTAATAGCGTGGCAAATAGAATAAATGCTAAAAACTGCCGTGTGACCGCTCTCGTTGAATTTAACTTGACGTGTTTTCGACAAATGAAGACGTCGTTGAACTTTATCAAAAATATATTCCTGAAGTGCACAGTGAACAGCAATCCAAACAAGAGTATAGAAGAAAATTGTAAACAAATCACGAACCCCATTCCTGTAAAGGATCCTTGATTCTTAATAAAAAATAATTTTAGAAAAAAATTATTAAAAAAAGGTAAACGTGGTACTGGTCCCTGGAGGAAATAAATCGATTGCCAGTAAGTAGTCAAGCGCTAATTCAGAATCTGAGGTTAAACTTTGTCCATTTCGGAACCACGATTCGAATTCGACGCTGGTCGAAAAATTATAAGCTCAGATTCGGAATCATTACTCGAATATCTACTGGACAAACATAAAAATATCGAAAAGTCCCTCATCATTTTCCCTAGGGACCAGTAAACTACACCTTTACAAGAAAAAAACCTGTTTCATTTGGCAGTGTCAACGTATCGTTATATTGGGGAACAATGAAAACCTGAGCCAGTGAAGTTGTTGCATTAAACATAAAACCAAGCATAATAAACATAATTACACATCTTAAATGTTACAAAGAAAATTTAAGAAATTCTGATAAAAACATACGAAATAATATCACCATGATTTTGTATAATAAATTCATGGGAAAATATTGGGGGGCTCTTTTTTCGGCTCATAGCCGCTCTTTTTGCTTCAATTCCCATTCTCTAAAAGTTTAATTAATTAATTAAGCTTTAAAATGAAACAATGAAATTAATCTTTAAATGAAATAAATTAAAAAGTTAGACATGGCGTCACAAATCCAATTACCAGCCGATTTATTTATCTCTTCTCTAACATTATGTAAGCTTTTGGCGTTCTGAAATTTTTGCAGTTTGATTACTGTATAGCACTTATTTGAATTAAAAGTAAACCCAAACCCAATTCGTCCCACTGAATAAAAATCCCCAATTCGGCTCAACTCAATTCGTCCCACAGTGCAAATCCCTCAATTGGTCCCACTAAGCTAATAACTGGAAAAAATGTTCTAATGAACTTAGGACCGAATAAATCTTATATCATTCGAAAGCCCTCGAAAGGCACTATCATTTTGCCAACTGGATGGATTAACTCAGTTAACTGATTAAAAAGTTATAGCTCTAAAGATTAAGTCATATCCACTCTCTAAATATGGATATTTAAGTAAATTCCAGGGATTAATGTAAATTTCAAAATAATTTATAAACAAAGTACGTGAGCTTTCAAACATTCCTTCATTATAAACACATGGCTTTTCTCATTTATTTTTCACACAAAGAATTGACGAAGTAATAAAAAGTTTTGTTGTTTTTATCCATCCGCCAACAGTTGTTTTCAATTTTCAAAAATAACAAGCATGATTTAACAGAACATCTTGGCAAGCATATTAATGTGTTTCATTGATAATTTGTTTATTTTTCCCTAATATTTTTCAATCCATTTTTCAAATTTTGATATCTTCGGCTTTAGTATGGCTAATAAACTTATTCCTGTATTGCTTATTTTATTCTTGTCCATTCCAAATTTTGATGCAAATCAATTAAGCGAGGAAGATCCAGACGAAAAGCCTCGATACCAACAATATGTGAACGAGCAGAATTACGTAATTAAACAGAAATAAGCTAATTATACTCTTAGTCCTTGTAGCATATTCCCTTCAAAACACGCATCAGTGAGCCTTTCAGAGAGTATCAAACGGTGCACGCTGTAGGAAAAGTTAATGCCGACCCAAAGAGGTTAATCTTTAGTTTATTTCAAGTTAAATTGAATATTTTTACAGGGTGGATTTAAATTTCTATAAAGGTGGGAACGAGGATGATGATATGCCTTTACATCTTTCAGTTAGATTTGATGAAGGCTTGTTTAAGGGAAATGTGGTGTTTAATACCCTAGTCAATAAAAATTGGTCAGAGCCGGAAGAGCGTGTTCAAAGTCCATTCAAACCAGATGATGAATTTGATATTCGGGTCCGAATTTTGCCAGGAAAATTTCAGGCAATCTTATAATCATAATTAAACATTTAATATTTTTATTAGGTCTTTGGTAATCGTATCGAGATAGGAACTTTTGATCAACGCATCCCTTTATATGGAGTATAATATTAAAACTTTAAATTATTGCTTCATTATATTCTAATAAAGGTTAATCACGTATCATTACTTGGAGATTTGAAGAGTTTACGAGTTTTCCACTATGGAGGAACTAAATTCCCGAATCCCTACAATGCTATTGCCAAACTTTTGCCTGGTAAGTTGAAAGATTTAGCCATACTATACAGTTATATCGAATATTAAGGAATGCGTCTTGATATATCTGCCATGCCGTTAGGTAGGAATATCTTATCCTTTAGCTAATAATTCTCCTGTAATTAAAGGGAATCGGGTTAATTTTAACCTTTACAAGACAAACAACGATATAGCTTTGCATATTTCTATACGTTACTCCGAAGGCATTATTGTTCGTAATTCAATGATATCAAATCAATGGGGGGACCAGGAAATCGAAGGCAGTCTTCCATTGGCAAAAAATGAAATGTAACTTGTTTTTTATTACTTGGGACATTAAAATATTTTCAGTTTCGACTTAACAATAATAAATGAGCAAGCAAACTTTCTAATATTATTTAATGGCAAAAAGTTTTGTAATTTTGTGCATCGTTCTCAGAATTTAGATATTGAAACATTAGAAGTAGACGGAACATTTGAATTACACACAGTTACAATTAACAACGCACGTTAATCACTTTTTTATTTTTCCCCTAAATGTTGCAACTACTTCATTCAAAACACCACTATTATTATGTTTATGATCGCTAGTGACACCCCGTGGCCGATAAAAAATTGTTTACATCTAAAATATTACAAATAAAATTCACGAACATTAAAATTTCTTGTGATTATTTGTCCCGTCGTTTCTTATCATTAAGCTATTTTTTTCTTTTTAATTTCATTGAAAATAGTAAAGTTAAAGATAGAATTGAAAAACGCCCTCTATTTTGGCCCTAATCCTTCTCTATAGTGTAATCTTTGGGTTAATCTACTAGATTAGGCTGTTAATCAGTTTAGCTCCGAAATCCATTTCCCTTCAATTATGTATAATTTTTTTCAATTATTATCAAATTTATTCAATTAATCGGATAAAATATTGGTTTTTATAAAAGTAGTAAAGCATTAATTCGTGTTTACCTCACACATTGAGTTAAAAAATATTCACACGTAATGCTTTTCATATTGAAAACGGAAATGCCATTTAATGGTTAGGTTCAGGTTTAAATGTCATAATTCTCTAAATTAATTTTCTCTTAATTATTATAAGCATATTTTATGTTTAATTCTTTTCGATAAAGTAAACTAGAATAAAGTTTGCAGCATGACATTTCACACTTGCCCGGTTTCCCGTGAGTATTCTCAAGTTAAATATTACATTTGCATATTAGCAAATACATAGCGTGCACCCAGTCTGGAAATAAATAAAATTATATTTATCCCCTTAACTTCTATTTATCCATTTTTTCTCCTACTACAAATGTGTAAGGCTAACGGAGCAGTTCAGTTGGCCCCAACCCTTTAAGTCATGAAGGGATGGATCATTTTTAGTGATCTTGGTACCATTATCTCTATGCAATGGTACCATGAATATTAAAAATTATACTCCCCTTCTTAAGTTATAGGTGTCGGGATTCAACGGAGGGGTATTGTTTTTCCAATTTAAATTCATTAATTTTTTATTTTGAAAAAGGAAGTACATACATGTGACTGGCATTTCAAAAACGTTTAAAAAATTATTAAGTAACCAGCTGATCAAAAAATATTCTTTACACATTTTCTCTCCTTGTTTTTATCTCAAAAATTCCATGACTGTGTTCACGAGTTTTCCTCGTAGCTATTTTTTTCATTTCGAATGAATGCGTGTTTTACTATGTATTTTTGCGCAGCTTTAGTTAAACTAAAAAATAATAAAAAACTAAAACATTAAATATCAGAAAATTCTCAGACCTTATTAGAATTAGTTTAAAACCTCCCATTATTTTCTGAAAAATAATTTTTATTGTTTTAATAATTTTGTTTGCGATTCATTTTTATTTGCAATTTTTAACGACTTAAAATTTTAGATAAAAAAATAAATTATCAACAAAATTTATATTTTTTTGCAAATTCATTCATTAACTTTTTTACAAACATCAAAATTATTATAAACCCTTTCACGTTAATTAATTTTAATTTTATCTTTATGGGTAATTTAGGGAATACGTGAACGCAAAAAATTCTATTTATCTAATAAATCGGCGAACAGCGTCATTTTTAAACATTTTATTTGTTTATTTGAAAATTCACGCAAATATCTTTGTAAAAATATTTTTAATTGAGAATGAGCAATAAATTTTTTCAAAAAAACATTCGTCAGAAAATTGCCTTTTTAAGTGGTTTTACGCGGTCAGATTCCATTTCTTTATATGGTTACGTAATTAAAATGAAATTTGATGGGGTTACCTTAAAAATGCCAAAATAGAAGGTGTTTGAACAAATAAAATTTTAAAAGGGCAAAAATCTCGTACCTTAACACGCAAAAATCTGAGACTTAATCCGTCTACTTTACATCTTATTTGCATATTTGTCTAAAATTTCAAAATTTAGGACTTGCTATAAAATTTCCAAAAATATCATTTATTTATTTTTATAAACCTTTAAAATGTATTGGCGTTCATTAAGTTTAATTTAAAAAATACAATTTCAAAACCCATTATATTTATTAATAAACAGTTATAAAATAAACCTGCGCATGCTTATTGTTGCGCATTAAAAGTGAATGCCGGAAATACTAAAATAAAAGGGAAAAAACTATTTTTGGCGCTATATTTTATACTTGTTTTTATAGCATGTATATTTTAAACTTAATTTTATATTTATCATTCATTAATCTGGTTGGCGATTCCGGATATCCTTAACCGGAAAAAGACAGGATAATAATTTTTCGGTTATCGGGTCCAGCCCGGATATCCTGAGATCTCCCAGGGGCCGTCAACCTTATTCAATAATTACCACAAATATTCCGTGAATTAAAGAAATCTATCAAGCTTAATTTAGACCTATTAAACAATAAAAAAAGGTTCTATAAATAGCATAATATTTTGTAGCTTTAAAATAAAATAATTTAAAATTTTTCTTATTATTTCCAATTTAGTCCGATTATTACTGAATTAAAATTATTTTTCGAAAAAAATTATTTTATTAAACACGTGAGCGTTAATTTCTTGTTAAAAATAGAACCCGCAATTAGGAGACATTAGCAATTTTATTCAAAAAATTTTATCCAATATATTTTTATTTTATTTCCCTATATGCCTAAATAATACTAATAATTGTCTAGGCAAAAAATGTGTTTATAAGGAGGAAAACAATATTTACGATTTACGCGCGGCGGCATTTCAAATTTTGTTTTTTGAACAAATTGTGGGAAAGGTAGACTTAAAGGGCATTTTTTTTTCAAAATAATCGTCTAAGATATGGGAAAAATAGAAGATTGTCACCTATGTAAATGAAAAATAATAACAGTACTATTTAGCCATTAATCATAAGATATCGCGCATATTTCAGTTATTTTCTAAATAAATAGAGATTTACACATGGAAACGGACTTTGGATCCTTATCCGGGTATATTTGTGAGGTATACGGGTATATTTGTGATACGTTTATATACTTTTAAACGGATAATATATCTTTTAAACGGATATATATCTTTAAACGGATATATATCTTTTAAACGGTCAATATAATTTATATACTTTTAAACGGATATTGAGCTATCCAGGTGCAAGTCTGGCAAATACTATCTAGTTTTTTTGAAAAATAATTTTGCAAATTTTTCTATCCGTAAGCTTTATTCTCGACGTAAATACAAAATAATTATTTATATTAAAATTCTCATTTAACTTAAAACGGGACACAAAGAAAATAACGTCACGAAATATTATAAAATTTTGCTTGTTTACAAGAAAATTAAATTAAAAAATAATTTTAACAATACAAACGCCCCAAAATTTTTGTCTTGTTCTGTGAACATTCATTCTACCTAGTTTTTATTCACGTAGAAATTTTTCTAACGCCTACGCTCAAAAATTCTTTAAAATACTGAAAGTCTCTTTAAGGGGTATTAAATTTGCTATCACACAAAAATACGTGACAAATTTGGCATTGCAAAATTTTTTGAATTTTTCTTCAATAAAAAACTATGCGCGAGAAAATTCTAATTTGGTGCTCTTTCCTTTCTTGGCATTTTAAATTGAACATATGATTTTTCCTGTCACATAAAACTTAAAATCATCAAAGAACATTTAGTTTTTGTAAATGACATAATTAAACAATTGTTTATTTTCAACTAAATTATTGACAGATTAACTAAAAAATGTATAAAATGTCAAGGATACAACAGAATAAAATAAGAATAAAACACCATTGTTGTAAATATGTTCTTCAAATTTTTCAATCATTTACTATCCTAATCTTCCTTATTAATCATGTCAAAGGCAACATTTCATTTTCTAAAGACGGAACAAATTCGGAAACAAACGGGTTAAGAAGATACAGCAACGAGGAGATTACTAGAATTTTCGATTTAAATAATATAAACAGACACAGAATGAGAAGAAGCACTGATCTCCGATTGATTTCAGCAAGTGCTGAAGTGTGAAATTTTAAAATTTTATTTCCTAGATTTAATTCAAAAATGCCATAATCTCAAAGATATTTTCTTTTTTAAGAATGGTGGTTCATTTCCTTGGAAAAAGCGCTATTACGTTACTAGATGGCATAGAAGACGATTTGTCCCAACTGTCAATTCAAGGGAAGATGGATCTCTACTCACTGCCGTTGAGCTTGTAAGTTCAATATTTTTAAAAATTTTACCATTAAATCCAATATGGAAAAAATTCATTTTAAAGTCAACAGTGCCTCGACGATTATGTGGAATAAAATTAACGAACAGAACCAGGGAACTATGTGGCGAGTAAGTTGATTAGTATTTTTATTTAGCCCGATCCCTAATCATACATATAAATATTAATTTCAGATGTGGTCCAGCAAACATGCAGAGGGTTGAATTAATGGATAAAAAAGCTGATAAATCAGTTGGTGAGTTTAAAATTCTAAAATCTTTTGAAAAAATATAACATTTTTTAAAGCATCTCGAGAACGTCTGACACAAATGTGCTGTGAAAAGCGATGCACAGATGGTATTAATATCGAAATATATAGCAATTATTTTAAAAATTTTATAGAAGATATTCGCTCGTATTGTTGTAGAAGCTGACAATGTTGTGAACAATTTTAAAGAATTTCGTAGTTTTTGCAGATTATATTTATCTATCTTTCCAACAGGACATGTCATTAACATTATACATTTTCTGAGGCCCAGATTGTTACTTTATTTTTTTCTTATTTCTTTTATTCGTTTGACTATATTTAATAATGATAAATTTAATAATTTTTGAGATATGATTGACTAATACGCAAAGGATGATAGAGGAGAGATCCTGTACGGAATTTTACGAGATCTCGTCTCGGAATCATGGGTTTTAAGAGGATTATCCCACCAACGGGATTAATCCCGCAGAATTGCCTTTTTATCTTTTGCAACTCCATTTCGTGCGATTTTGCCGACTATTAGCAATACATACAAAGGACAGTACTTTTTGGTGCCAGCATACCGTAGATGACTTCTAATGTAAGACTCTTTTGGTGCCATCATACCGTAGTAAAATATTTTTATTTATTTCACTTGTAAATAAAAATGTTTTATTAAATTATCATCATCGACTTATTTTTTTTCATATCCTCGAAAATTTTCTTGCCAAATTCTCACTCGTAAATTAGATTCTTCAAAAGCATGTTAGTGCAAAACAAATTGGCATGAAAACGCGACAAGAAAAACAAATTTAGAGGAAATGGAAAGGATAAATTTCTTTGCCAAACTGCCTTGAAAATTTTTCGCCTTCTTGACAATTTGTTTGCATACATAAAACCCAGAAGATCGTTTGAAGTGGCGGCCGTCTTTCCATTGCTGCTAAGAAATGGCATTTCAAAAACAATAATAGAAAAAATTCTTTGGTCTTATGCTTCATGTAATTCAAAATTATACGAGAAAAAGCATAAAAAAGATGTTGCTTATTATTAGGCTTATGCATATCTTGCTTCTAAAAACTTTCAAACACTATTTCATTTTCTTTTTCCATTGAATAGTAATTCAGATTAAGAATAAGCTTATGCATGCATATTATTTTCATCAAGTTTTTAGTAAGAAAACGGCCAAATTTATATTTTCCCATTCTTCACATTGATGTTTGTAGAGGGAGGGAACTGACAAACCAATGCATTTTATTCGGCTGTTTACCCTTTATCTTTTCACATTGCCAGCTTTATCCTCTCATATTTTTATAGGAAAATTTATAGGCAATCCTCATGCCTTCAATATTCATTGTCAATAAAAACACAAATATTTTCTCAATTAAGGGGGTTAAGCAAAAACTTTCACCCACGCACAGTTTTAATTACTAGAAATGCTAATTTTAGATATTCCAAAAACAGATTTTTAGTTATCCCAAAAGAACTCAAAACTACTAAGTTTCGTAAAAGCTCTCAAGAAAATCAATTCCTTTAAGCTGCTGGGTTATTTCCAAATTTGGAATTTTATTGTATCCAATTTTAAAATTTCCGGCTTTTCCTTTTTATTAGGAACGTGCTAAGTAGCCTTATTTCCTTATGCTTATTTTTCAACAGAGACTATTTTAGGATAACATAAACAAAAATATAAAAATTATTTAACATGCTTAGTTCAATATGTGAATATTGATGAGACTACATTATAAAATTTAAAAATCTGAATTAAATTTGCATGCCAGCTAAAATGGGTAACTGCCTTTATCGGCACGAGAATGAAAAGAATCCTACAAGCAACGTAGAACGCCAAAATCAACATTCAATAAAGTATGAAGGAATTTATCGAGTCTTGAATACAATTTTTATTTAGATCCACTCCCAGTTCCAAAGGTGTTGGTCTAGGAATATCGGTTTGATTATATAAATCCAATAGTAACTCAAATTTTTTTTATAAAAGATGATGATGCATCAGGCTGGAATGCTAGCTGGTATGTTAATTTACACAATGATACAAAATCATTTATCTTTATCTTAGGTTGCGCACCAACTCCCAATTTAATTGATCTGGATAATCTTCGGTCTCAAATGCGCAAAGCTAAGGCTGAAGGCAGGACTGTCACTGTACTTAATGGTTGTGTCTATATTGACTATCAACTAAAAGCACAAATCCCCGCTGGATTTAATTATGATATTTGACATTTATCCATGCTCATATGAAAATGTACAAACTTTATATGTAGTATCTATATTAAATTTTAAAGCTGTTCAGCAATAAAATTGGATTTGCCCCCGCACATTTTATTTTATTTACATTATAGATATCAGCAAGATTTAAAAAGTGATTAATTGGTTTAACAGGAATTAAGGGTAATCAGTCTGGGTAGTAATGATTGGGGAGAGGAAAGTGGAAGGAATTAGTAAAAGGAAAACATAAAAATATTAAATCTAATCTGGATTTTCGTTTATTTATACAATATGTTGACTTATCTTTTGTTTTGTGGATTTGTTTTGGGTATTGAATGTTGTGAAATTCGATCAATGGTTTGATAAAATTATATAAACATCAGTAAATTCATTTTAGGTAAAATCATTAGCAGAAATTCCATTCGAATTTAAATTGTCGCGATCAGATATTGTTGGGTTTGAAATGAAAGAGAATCTTGTTTTTAATGGAAAAGATGAACAAAAAGAATTAATGGTAATTAAATTGAAAATATCCCAGGGAAGTTTTAATTCATTAGATCAATGCAGATGACTGTTCAGTTAAACCCTGGAAAATGGAAACATTTAAACGAAATTCAGAAGGCACCTTAGAATTAGCAAAGGAGGCAATGGTTAAATTTGATGGAAAAGGAGTAATGGATATTAAAATAAAGGAAGATTTACAGCCTTGGATAGGTGCCAGAGTTGGTGTTTACTGCGCTGAGAGTTGGTTTTGTGGGTAGATATTCAAAAAAAATTTATACAACAGAGTGATAAAGATCAAGCAATATATTTCATAGTGCCTTTATTTGGATTCATATACAAAAATAAACTTTTATTTTCTTTAATTTCATGATCCGTTAAATAGCTTGTATGACGCCGACTGCGCCTTTCCAGCCAGGCTAACACTAAACAAAATAAGAAAAAAGCGGCCAATGCAAAGAAGGCCAAGTAAACACCGAGTAGGACTAGAAGTGTTTCTGATCCTTTTGTTGACACTGGTTCGGTAGAGACAAGAATCTTTTGACGCTGATCATTTGATGGTAATCGCTGATTTTTTCCATGCTTAATAAGATGCTTTCTTGGTACCAAATGTTCTTTTTTCATTGGAATTTCATTAGCATAGTATTCATTTATATCAGCTGGAAAGATAACAAATGGACTGTTGTTTTCATAATGATGAATTTTCTCGTCTTTTGGCTCATTTTGTTCAGCATTTAACATGACAGGTAATTCTGAGTTCTTCAATGTTGGTTCTTGTATATTTTCTATAGAATCAACATTGGTTTGCACAACATCAAAATTCGATGTTACTGGAACATGAATATATTTAATTATCTTCTAAATGAAACTACCTTCTTTAGGCCATTTATTTTGATGGTCAATTTCAGGATCCTCGTCAAATTCGAGAATTTTTGAAAAGTATATGTGCGTATCTTGTAGCATTGGCTGAGAAATCGCCTCGCCATTACTTTTGTCACTGATAAAATCATTTGTTGTCGAAAAATATCTCTGGTGATTTTCATCTTCATTGATATGATTCGTTTTTAACTAAAACGAAAAATTATTCAAAATAGAAAGTGAGGACTTAACATACAATATGATCACTCTTTTTATTTTTCTGATGAACTCCTTCAATTCCATCTATCAATGCCTCAACGGAAGAGGTTGGCGTTGTGAGAATGTTTGGCACTTCTTCCGTTTTAACCTCCTCATCATCAACTGGCTCAGAAGAAACATCCTCATATACCCACTCTTCCTCATATTCTTCGATGTTATTCGTTTGTTCTTTTACACTTTTGGCTTGATCTATATTGTTTTCATGTTGTTTATTAGGAACTTGGGAACTTGATCGTTCGGAACTATATGAAACTTGGTCGTTCGTCAAAACATTTGGTACTGTAACCCTGTTGTTAATAGTCCTACCAATGTTATTTTGATCTCCCCACTGGACGGAATATCTTGAATTGAAGTCATTTGTCAGCCTTGCTGTCGAGTAAAAGAAATTTGGTGGCATATCCTCCAAATCCTCTTCCGATGAAAACAATCGCCGAATGTTTGGGCCAATGGTAACTTCTTCCCCTTCCTCTCCATAAACATTATCATCGATAAGAGCTCGTTGGAGACGGTCGCCATCAACATTCCTAAGATTTTCAGAATTAATTTTGTTCTTAAAAGTACATTTTAGTAATAAACTATACTTATAAATGTTAGATTTTTGACAACGGTCCAGGAGAACTTCGGGCAAAAGTTGATCAAGTTCAAGAGGAATCACAGTAAAACCTCTGGTTTTGTATTTATCGATAACCCGACCAGATGGCAATAAAGTAGAAAGAAAATGATCTCGAATAAAGGAGCGATCGAACTTCAGAATTTTCCTTTTACTTCCCTGATTAGAGCATAATTTTTGGCCAGAACTAATTATGCAAGAAATTTGCTTATCAAGTAATCGACATATTTCCTAAAAATGATCAATTAACTTCAATAATTTCAATTAAATTTACTTGTTCAATAAAGTTTCTTAGCTTTTTAAATTGTTTTAAGCCATTTAATCTCGTATATTCATCTTTTATTTGATCCAATTGGAAGCCAATCATGCGCATTTTCGCTACTTTCCGTTGATCTTTTGAGCAACTTTTTTCTATATGGTTACGTTGTTTATGCAAACAGAGTTTATCAGATGGAAGATTATCGCACACTTGAGAATCTATACGATTCAAAATCCATAACATTTTTGTTTGCAACCAGAATTCATGCCAGTAATTTTGTTTCATGCTTGCTTTAAAGCTGAGCAACTTACTACATTGTTTTTGGCAATGATCATAGTCGAGAAATTTCCTAAACTTTGAAATCATATAATGATAAAGCCGGGTTAGCTAACCAGCAAATTGGATTTATATCGGAGTGTTTATTCTGTAGAATTTGGTTTTTATTCCGAGATTTACGCAATACCCTAAGAATGTTTGCAGCATTTTCTTCATTTCCAATATTCATCGAGCGTTTAAGAAGCCGATTACATCGATCAGAACATTGATCAGTTTTAAAACTTAACTCGTTTTTTTCATGTAGTTCAGCTACACAGATAATTATAGGGAAAAACAATGGAATAAAATTAAATGATTTAAAGTAAAACATGTAAATACAAAACAGTGTTTTCGTAAATAATTTTGAAGCAAGGATATTTACATTTTTTTGATTAATCTCACGACTTTAGAATTTTCTTAATTATTTAGCGGTTAGAATGAGCTGTTTCCTTGAGCTATTGAGTTGAACGATGAGTTTAAAAAACAGCCACAATTGTTTCGTATTTTTCATGCAAAACGCAAACTTCCCCTAATTATGCAACAGCTGTTTACACGTTTAAAAGAAAAACAAGCATTCATGGATTGATAAATAGTGTTGTTTATTTGTTTTTATTCGTTTGGATATAGGAATGCAGAAAATAAAATATAAAATAAAACAAAAATTGCAAATCTCGATCTAAGTGATTGAGTGGGTGTTCAACGGGCGAGAAAGGTGGATTAAAAGGTTGAATAATTTGAAATTTTTTAAATTTATTTAGTTATCAAAAACATAATTGGATACATAATAAAAGAATTTCATTAGGAAGGGGTTGTAGTATTCAAAACATCATTTACCTCAAAACCAGCAGTATATTCGAAACTATCAATATCATTACTTAACTCCCTGATTTGAGGATTCATTTTCTGTTCAACTTCAACATCATTTTCCTCATTTCCGTAAATCTCAGCTGTCTGTTGTCCATTCTGTTGGATTAGCATCAAGGCATCTTTATCCTCTAACGATTTAATTACATTGCCAGGAACTTTAAGAACTTGAAAAGTTGAGCCAACATTATTCAACAAATTTTTCCCAAGTATGTATGGAGAAATTTGCAAGAGCTGCAGCTGGTCTTCTCTTGGAGAAACTCTTCCAGAAGGTTGATCTGATATTGGATTCTGGATTTTTCCCCCTTGGAACGGTTTCTTAGATCCGAAATCTTCTGCTGAACTTAAAATGAACTGATCTGCTGTTGGTGTCTCATCAGGGTTATAAAAGCCTTTGCCAGAAGTGCCAATGGAAGAGTCTAGTTGATCATCATTATTTTGTTGCTGCTGAATAAGTAAATTTAAGATACGCTGCTGTTTTTCTTGCAAATCTTTTAGATCAAGTCGATTACTCCTTAGCAATTGTTTACGTTGAGAATCACGTTCGAGTAATTCCAGAATGATCTTTTCTTGTTCCAAAATCTGTTTTAATGAGAGTTGCTGACTGAGAGCTTCGTTTGTTGTTTTGCCAAAAATGCCTGTATTTCTATTTTCAGTAGTTGCCTATATTTAAATAAATTTTTTTAAAAATAATTTTAAATTACTGGAAATTTTCCAAGATTTTGCAGACGAGAAAGTAAGGGCCTTATCATAGATGTTTTGAAAGACATAGATGAATCAACACCATTCCTTCCAGAAGCTCGTAGTAATACGTTCTTCAGTCTCTGTTCATCGGATATTCGTTGTTGTAAACGTTGCATATCTTACGTAAGATTATTCAAAAAATAATCATATGAACTTACTATTTAAGTTAGCATAATTTCGAGAAATTAAAGCTCCAAATGGGCTTCTTCCATTATTTCGAAGCGCAGCCTGAATCATCATTCCTGTTTCTTTTCTACCAAACCTTGCTAAACTAGGATTATCCAAGCTTATAGAGCGTTGCTCAATAGCTGGAACATCACTACGTTGAAAATTATCAAAACTGCTAAGCTCTGCTGCTAGTAATTGGATCATGAATAAAGCGAATAAAACTTGATTGTGAACGTATTTTTCAAACATTATTTTTGAAAAAATTACTAAAATTTTGTAAAATAGATTTCGTTATGTATTTCAGCTTAAAAATACATCCCTTTTAACAAAGCCAGCTAAAAATAACAATAAAATGAAAGCTAATGGATATCGCTAAAAATAGAAATTTAAACAAACAAATGGATCTATTATTGTTTTTAGGGTTCATGTGTATAGATTGCTTGCCAAAATAGACAGACACGGTCTAAAAGATCAAGTCGGACCCCAGATTTGGCCCGAAAAAATGCCTCGATCGTTGGCCCTACTCAAAAAACGGCAAACCTAGTTATAAATAAATACACACTGATTATTAATTCCTAGCATGCTACTTAACTTTTAATGCATAAAGCATATCTTTCAAATTTTATTCAGATTATTAAAGATTGAGGCTGTCATATAAATAAGTCACTGACTGGTTAAAAAATAATAGTGAAATATAGATAAGGCAAAATAACAATAAAGAACAGGAACGTAATCGTTGATCAGATGTAAAAATACAGATTTAAATTACGTCCATATACTTAGAAATAAAATTAAAAATGGCAAGGTTCCCTTTCCGGAGGTTTAATGATAAAAATGCAAAATATAAGTATAATAATTAAAATAATATAAAGGCACGAAATTTTAAATTAATGACCAAAATGTGTGAAAATTTATGTAATTATGCACTTCTGTTTGCCTCCTCCTTTTTTCCCTTTAAACGGCCGACCTTGGTTATCTTTAAGCTAAAAAATAAAAATACAAAGCCTCAAATATTTTTAATAGAAATCCCACATTCTGAGCATTCTCTTCAGCAGGAAAGCTCTTGACAATTCGAACCTAAAATATTTTATCAGAAAAATAACTAATAATATAGAAACCAATTCGTGAAAAGCAGAGTCAACATTAACAGGCGGATCCTTAGCAGATGTTCTAGGTTAAATTTATCAATATTTCATATCACTAAGTAAAAATTAGTTACTCAATATATGGAATGTTGTTCAGTTCACAAGCCAGTTCCCGACCTTGCTGTTCGCTAACCTTCCTCTGACTAAGTAGATCAACCTGTAAACTCATTATCAGACTCAATTAAACTTCAATTAAAAAACCTTATTTGCTACAAGAAGCACTGGATATTCAGGACGATCTTTAACACGAAGTACTTGCTTAGAATAAAGAATATACTTTCATAATTAAGTAAGCTAAAAACCTGATAAAGCTTTTTAGCTTCGTGAAAGCTTTGCTCATCCGTAACAGAGTAGACTAACAGGAAACCTCTTCCACTCCGCATATATCTAACAAATGGATTGTGTAACGTAAAATTCCAAGAAAGAAATTACTGTTCACGCATTGCTGAAAATTCCTCTTGTCCAGCTGTATCCAATACTGAAACCTTTATTCATGATAATTAATGAAAAGCTTTTTGAAAAGATCTATCTAGAAAGATCCGATACTTGACATTAAACATAACTTTTCCAGCAATGGAAATAGCTATTTTTATTTCAAAGAGTTAAGCTAAAAAATTGAGCTTATTTAGAAGCTAAGAACATCAAAAATGGTCAATTTTTAAGAAAGTTATGACCATTATTAGGTTTCTGGCCAAATTTCCTGGCTCTTAGGCCATAACTTTAATTTATTTTTATGTTTTTCCAAACCTTATATCATATTATAGACAATTCTAAGCTTAATTTCATAAAATTCAATCTTTCTGTATATCATGCTATCATTGAATTTATGATTAATTTAACGTCAATTATCCTCAAGTCACGACACAAAACTAACCATCTAAAATAACCCATTGGCCATCAATTTCACAATGCTAAAATAAACACCATTTATTACAAATAAAATATAAAAATTAGAACCTGTATGTACTGATCTTCAATTGTCGGGTCATAATAATCCAAAAATTGTTTCTGAATAACCACATAATGTGGGATTTAAAAAATTATGAACCTGGAAAAACTGAATGGTTAATGAAGATTTGCCAACACCACCTTCACCAATAACAACCAGTTTGTAAGTAGGTAATTGTTGCTCGTCTGGTGGCCTTTTGTTAGAGGCAGCCGCCATTTTTTAATAATGAGTTACACAATCTACAAGGCTAAAAATTAACCAATATTAAGAGTGACTCATGCAAATATTCAATTATCATGGGTAAAATCCTAGAGCAAAATTACACAAAATGTGAAAATAAAGAGTATATTAGCCATTTCATTGCAGCAATTTTAAATTTTACCAAATACTATTGATTTTGATCAATAATTTTTTGGAAATTTATTGGAACTTATTGACAAACGGATCATTTTTGGGATATAGATCTTAATTTCCAAAAAGATCTACGACAATAATGGATTCTAATTTAGATTACAAGCAAGATTTCATGAAGATTATGCTTAGAATCAACGTCAAATATTGCGGGCTATTCCGATTTATTAATTCTATTTTCTTTTATCTGCGCTGCGTGTGGACTGATTATGTATGTACATATCACTTATAATTTTGTTAGTTATCTTGTTTTAATTATATATTGTCTGGGACTGGATTACACAATGTTATTAATAAAACCAGATTTTATCCAATTATACAAGACAATTTTATCCAGCTGTTATGCATAATAACAAAAAATAACATTAGTAAATCTTTCGCGTAAGCGCTTTCTTTCAAGAAATATTTGCAAATGGGTCAATAATAAATGAGAGGTGATAAGAGGATATCTTGATCCTGATGAATTGATCATCAATCAAGGAACAAAAGCCATCAACATTAGTAGGATAGGCGTTCATCTCCGGTTTTCGCTATAAATTTAAAATTGAACTACACAATCTCTTTGTTATGGTTCATCCCCAAAAAATTATAAATTAACATGATTGATAAATTGACCATGAACGAAATCTTTAGAGCTGATTAGTAGAGTTATAGGTCTAAAATTTTTTTATGAACTAGATTAGTTTGACCAGGGACGGGGACTTTCGCTTTCATATTCCGCCGATTTCAGTTTTTTCTGCTCTTCCGCTTCCGTCTTCAACATATTACTTTCTTCCGTTTTCTCCCATCTGCAGCTTTTTAAAATTTGGTTTAAAATAAGAATTTCAATAAATATTAGTAATACTAACATACTTTTTATAATTCATAGTTGTTGGATTATTTATATAAAAATAAAAAATTAAAGCGATAATCCATCATTTTGCCATCCAATTTTTGTGGCCAAAATGCTCAAGATTATCTGTTAGGGTATATAGTTGCGTCAGTGCTTACCTCTAATCCTTAGGATAAAAAGCCACTTAAAAAGCTGACTTTCAGATCGCAATTTTCGTAAAAAAGAAGAGTGTGAGCACTAATTAATCAACTTGAGCTGTGACTAGTCCCAACACCACAGGATTTATTTGATCCAATACCACATCCCCCAGCATAGCAAACAAAGGAAGTGCGTTAATCAGCCACCATTATCGCCTAAATCTCTCGAATGAAACCTATTGGCAACAATAAATTCCTCCGATTTTTCCAATTTTTATATAAAAAACCAGGAGGCAATCTTTACTACTATTATAAAAATATTTGGGTTTAATCGCTTTGTTCATTAATCTGGGAGGCTGCCACAAATTTAACCACTGTGTAAATAATAAAAGTCAGTTGCCTCCAATAATTAAAATGATACAATCTACCCCCTTAGTGGCTGGCAATAATTATAACTAATAAATTGTATAAGCAATAAAAACTAACTCAAAACTTTTAATTATTTCAATCCATTCCACAAAATATATTAGAAATTTCATAAATATGTATACATATCTATTTGCTCCTTTAATCTATTTACAAATCTTGGGTTTTATCTAAATGCGTCGCTTGAAACTTTCCTCTTTTTACGATGTTCTAATGACCAAAACATAGGTATTTCTTAGCAAAATACATCAATCTACTTTTAAATTACATAAATTTTCATTTGCGCGATCGTTCAACAACAACAGGATTGTCAAATAAAATGTAGATAAATATCGGTAACGTTGTGGTGTCATTTGTGCGGTTGTTAACTGAGGTACATTTAAGGCGGAATATTGAGAAAATTAATGGGGATATGTCCAAAGCAAAGATATTTTAGAGGGAAAAACGCGATTCGAGAGGAAAGTCATTGCAATTTTTAAAAATTAAAGGCCACCATCGACATGTTATTGGCCTTGATATCTGAAAAATATCTCATTCTTTATAAGACAAATTCTATAAAAATATTTTTGACATAATGTAGAACAGAATAGTTATAATTTTACGTGAATATTAAAGAATTATATTAATATTTTTTGGTTATATTTTTAGAGAGGCCAAGTTAGGAATTTAAGACACAGTGTGGAAAACTTTTTAAATAAACTACAAAGAGTGGCCTTTTGTGACAGCCGAAAAAGATGATCGAAGAGGGGCTGCTTGTTTAACCATTTGGTTGTTCTTATAGTTGACAATAGCGTAATAATTCAAACCCTACATCTCAGATTTTGGCCAAAACATTATTAAATGAAAAAGTGAGCCGTATAATGAATAAAGAGAGAAGAAAGCAGATGCGCCATTTTAATGTTTTGTTGGTGTTTTTAATAAGTCAGTTTCAAAATAGGCGTATGTTCTTTAGGTTCTTTAGGTTCAAAAATTTCTACCTAATAAAAATTCATTAATTAAAGCATACTTTCGCGCGATTTTCCAATTTTCCATACTTTAAATAAAACAAGTATTAATATGTCCCCGCTCACTTTCTTTATCAATTCCTCCAATCTACCATTTACCAGCCACTATGTTCAACATACGTACACCACCAAGCCGCTGGCGTCCGCTTGCGTATTGGTTCAAAAATAGATGTAACTGAATTTTTTTAGTGAATAAACCGAATTTATATTTTAGAAAAAATTGTTTGGATAATTTCGGATAAACTTAAATTATCAAAAGCATAATATCTTGAAAAACTTTTAAATTATGCTTTTAAATTATTTTATAAACGATTTTTTTATCTCGAATTAAGCTTTTTAAATGTTAGAACTCAATTGCTACCGTAATAGCAAGTTTTTAAAAAAACTAACGTTCAGCTGCGACCGCCAATCATTATAGAGGCAAAGACACTCTCTTTTTGCGCGGGTTGCGGCTGGTGTAGTATCTATGAGGTTTTGTGGAGAATATTTTATCTCCGCCCACATTTATTATTCTACATATGCCCGAAAAAACTAATATCAAATCCGAACTAATATTTTTTAAAATAATTTTGGCTATTAATCTTTCTTCTACAAAAAGAATTAAAAATAAATGAATGCTGAAAAAGGATTTATTGAAGATATGGAATCAGTATTTGACAATGCTGAGGAGGCATTACGAAGAATTTCTGGCCAGTGTCGATTACAGAGAACGTGCCATTCAGATATATTTTGTTCCAGACTGCCAGCTCATTGGCGGTAACAATTATTCTTTTTCTATATTTAAAGTATGTTTATAGCTCGAACAAATCGCTGCCTACCCCATTCATAATTTTGGCACTCTGTCCTGTTCCAGATGGCAAGTTTTAATATAGGTATTACCCAATTATATAAGATACTTAACAGGAACTAGGGTCTGTGTTTCTGCTGGCAATGATGAGAATTTCTGTGCCGATGTAAAAAATAATACCGCTGAATTCACCGGACAAATGGCACGGTTTAGCGATCTTCGTTTTGTTGGAAAAAGTGGTCGCGGCAAAAATTTCAACCTCAGCATAACCATATTTACTATCCCTTATACACAGGCATGAATTTATATAGTAAATCTTTTGAACCATTAATTTAAGGTGGTAATTGTTCCGAATATTTTAAAGGGTGAGAATAATTTTTAAAATATTCTAGTCCATTTTTAAATGTTTAGTAACGGTGGATGGACCAAGAGAAACGCGAACCACATCGTCTAAGAGCATAAGTGGTTGGTTTTAAAATTTGTATTGACCTTTAATCAACTATTCATATTTTTGAGACCAACATCTATCCTTCCCAAAAAAATTTCGGTTATATGATGGACAACCAAAGATTTATCAACAACAAAGTGACATTTACAGCAAGGATTTAGATGCTGCTAAAGTGTATAATAAAAACGTCTTAGATGCTAAAATGTCTCAACCTATCCTTAAAGAATCTAAATGCATTACTTCATCTATTTTAACTCAACAGCAGCAAAATTTCCCTTTTTTACTACCCCAAAACAGATTGAGATTCAACACACAAACGGCGGCTACATTAATGAGTGGATTAATCAATCCACGTTTATATTTTGAAAATTTGGCAGCCGAAGCAAGGAATAAATTTGGCATTGAAAACAATTTTAGACTTAATACCAGCATAAATCTTGATAATATGTTACAACGTTCGTTTAGCGTGGCATCAACACATCAAATGTCACCATTGAATGATACAATTAGAAATGAACAACAGAAAATTAATTCACAAATGGTGAGTACTTATCTGTGTTTATGATACTAACATTCGATTTTTGTGTCTTAAATCTAGTGATAAAATCTAATTTTTTAAATCCTAATCAGAGATTTTCCCTGAATAATATGTAAAATAATTTAAGAATAATTTCTCAAAGCTGCTAATTCCTTCTTATTGTTCAACTACCTTTCCTTCTCCATCTCAATTCATTCCGATACAATCTTTTCCTTCAATCTCTTCATGGCAAACTTTGTTTAAAAACAACAATAATAATACAAATATACTTCAACCAACATCCATAACTAATAGATCTAATGAGAATTCTATATCAGCTCATGAAGAAGGCGAGGGTGTAATTAATGAAAGGCCAGTATTTTTAAAATATAAATTCCTTAACTAAAAATAATCTCTGTTTTTTCAGTAAACCAACGATTCGTAAAAGAAGACATAGTGGCACAGTCTCGTCAGATGCTAACGGTTGGCAAAAGGATGAAACAAACAAAGAGATGATCAAGAGATCTAAACTAGCTGTAAACGATGAGGTCAACAATAAAACAACTACAAGCGGCAGGAACAAAGACAATGAAATTAGTTCGCCGCAACCAATCTTGAAGCCGCAAACACAACAACGACGTCTTTGGCGCCCTTTTCCTCTTTAAAACAAAGCAAACCACGTATAAATTTTACAAAGATATTTATAGATTTTTGAAGCTTTTTATCTTATTCCAAATCTTTTCATTTTATTCAATGACAACCGCTGATTGTGATCAACACATGCGCAAAATAAATATTCATTTTTTATAAACAGCTTTATATATGCCCGGTAGTTTTTGATCATTCCGAATTTTAAACCATTTTAATAGAAATTATAGTATTGTTTTTTGTTATTTTTATAAAGATATTATAAACATATGAAATTATAACACTATCTCTTATGCATTAATAATACATCATCTTCTTTTTCTGACCCACTGGTTGAGGAATTCTCAAAATTATCGTCTTCCTCCGGCTTTTCGTCCAACTCTTGGATTCTACTATCTAGCAGATTTTGTTGTTCCTTTTCCAGTTCGGTTTCTCTTTGCAAAGCTTCCACTTCGTCTACTGTTAAAAGAGGACCTTCTACTTCAGATTCGTCTTCATCATCTTCATCCTCACTACTGCTCTCCTTATGATGCATCATACGGCGAACCATGTAACTTAAATTTTAAATTATATACAGGCTTTTCTGTACCCTCAAAGCTATCATAAAGCTTAGAAATCTTATTAAACAGATAAAAGCACTCTCAGTCTTTTTTAATGTTACCCGTGAACTGGACAGAGAGGCTTCATGAAAACGATCTGGCCACGTGCACCAAAGAGGCATGTGCATGGCAATTCCACGTTAGGAGCCAAATAAGGCGTACTTTATAAAAAATGTAGATACATTGGAACGTTTTAAATTAATTTTTTAACCTTGTGCCAGAACAGCTTTGAGAGTGTACAATCTCCTAAAATCAGATAAAATAAAACTTAAATAATAACAATGGAAAATATTAAATTAATAAGTAATAGTCAGACTTACTCCTCTAATACGCATATTTGGTGGATAAATCTCTCCAGTAGCAGATTGAACATAAGATCGCATTGATTTTAGGGATTTAAGAGATTTAGCACCTCCCGAAGATGTTCTTTGACCAATAGATGGTGTCGAACCAGTCTTGCCACTCGGCTCAGAGTGATCATCGGAAGAATGTTCTCGACGACTTGTGTCACGTGCAACTCTAACTTGTTAATAAGAAAGAATATTAAGGGTTCTTACTTCTTTTTGTGAATATACTCCATGCAAAACCTTAAAAAGTTTTAAAAATGAAAGAATTATTATTATTGTACCATATAAGCTGTACAACTTCTAAGATGCTAACAATAGAAATGCCAATCCAAAGTCCAGAAAGCCCGCCCAGATCGGCAATTAAACTGGTCATCTAAATGATTTGAATGAAATTTCTATAATCTACAAATATTACGCTATAAGCAGCACTTTCAGTCAGCGTTTGATAATTGAACTCCTCGTAAAATACTTGGATAAGAGCCTAAATTTAATAAAAATTTAATTACGGAATCCTTAGTATAAGTATTATATACTACTAACAGCGTTAATTCGATACTGCTCCAAACAAAGCTCGTCAGAACTGAATAGTTTTTAATTTTTAGCATTCATAATCTATAAATGACCTAGCACATTCCATTATTCGCGCTGTACCGGAAGGCCAGCGAGCGGCAGAATATGTGAGTTCATAACCAATTTCGCTAAAAATTGTAGGCTATTCAATTGCCTGCAATATAAAACGGTAAAACGAACTGGCAAGGTAACGGGCATTTGCATTTATCTAATCGCTCTTCAACCACAACTTTTTGATCTTGTATAGTTCGTATACACTCGCGGGCTTTTTGTTCTTCCATCCCGCATTGCCGAGATCCCGAAGGGATTGGTAAAGTTGGATCTGCACAACCACAAATTCTTAGTATCTTGGGAATAATTGAGATAATTATTTTCAAACAAATTTTACTATAATTTAGAAAATCTTATTTAAAGTAGTACTATGGGTATATTCAAATTATAACTGATACTTCTTGTTGTAGGCAACTGCGATGGCAGCCCTCCACCTAAATTTATAAATAAGATTTGTTTAAAATATTCAATATACTGAATAGTTGTAGCCAGTGTAAATATATCCTTCAGGCATCTGATTACCTAACGATTATTAATGTTAATACCTAGTTTAATATAATGCTACTGAATATTAATCAGTTAATCATGTATCATAAGAAATAGTCTATCAAAAAATACAGGCTTGGATTAAGATAATTTTCGAGAAAATGGCTATGGTTAACAATCCAAGTTTACATAAGCAGACATACCAGTTCGGCAATGCCCATATGGATGTTCAAGACGAAAGAATTTTTTCTAAATGAAAAATTATCTAGTTTTTGATAGATAAGTCAGGATTACGCGTACCATTCTAACTCCATATGAAGATAGCATACCCGTGGGTGCATTTTCACCTTAATTTATTTGTCTATAAGAAGCCTTTCAAAATTTACCAAAGGCATCCACAAATGGTACAGTCCATTTATCATGCACGGTAATTCTATTAAATGTTTGATAAATATATAATTCAGAGAAAATTTCCAAAAAATTTAATTTTCCATGAATAATTTACCTAAAACCTATGGCTTCGGTCGTCGGCAAATACTCTGAGACATTTGCATAAACAAGCACGCGTAATCCTTGAAATTAAAATTTTTTTCAAGGCTAACTTATCATATCAATTAGTCTTGAGATAAACTAATGGTTCTACCAAAATTAGCCCCTGCACGATGAGCTGTTATTTGCGAATCTCGATTCCAATTAAATGTATAGCAGTTTCCATATTGTGCTGTGTTATGAAGCTTGAAATCACTAAAGATCGACGGAATATACATACTTGTCAATTTATGGCTAAAATAAATTAATTAAACCTTGTAATATCGCAATCATGCCTGAAATAAATTAATATAATATTCAATATTTTAAATCCTTTATTTAATAACTGATTGAATGAACATTTTAAGATGAGTTCGTCCATTCTATACGAAAGTTGAATACGTTCCTTTTCAGATTTTTCTCCCTAGATTATTTTAAGATTAACATAAAGTATTATTAAAAACCATAGAATAAATTAGATTCTGCCTGGCTTGACTCTTTATGGATATTTCATCAGTTAAATTCTAAAATGTTCCAAATTATACAAGAGCTAATACTTTTTAATAGTTCATAACCTTGAATCCCAAAACTATCTTCTGTGATTCTTGTTTTTGAGCAAGAGAAATCTTGTCTTGTTTATTATCTATAGGTTTGTGAACTCCTTTCGAGCTTGATGATGATGTATTCCAAAATAGGCGGGCACCAAATTGTCTGAAAAATAAGAATGATCGAAAAGCTTCACACTTCAGTTAGGTATATAATTATTATAAGAATTAAATCATCTAATTTACACAAAATTCTTATTTATAAAATTGCCTTGTGAAATTCAAAGCATCAATGTTTTCCTCGGGTAGAATTTCAGGGATATCACCGTTGACATTATTTTGTATGCAATGGTTGTAACTTGAAATTATGCAATTTTTATTTTAATATTATCCATATTTACTCTCGATGGCAAAGACAAACATCGACTCCATCATCTTTATCGTATTGCTGGATGCTTCGATTTTGAAAATTATTACTGTAACCATTCCCTGAATTATTAAGGAAACGCATTGGGCAATGGCCAGCTTGATCTACGCAATCAGAACAAATATGTTCTTTCCATGTATTGTCTAAAAGTAATGTTTATAAGTAGGTATCTGCCAATATTTTCCTACATGGAAAACAAGGCCAAAGTGCCCTGGCAAATGTATCCAATTGGCACAGACATTTGGTTTGATAGAAAATTAGAAGTTTTTGTCCAGGTTGATAAAGAAATGAAGCTCGGCGCTTTAAATTTAATTCCACTTTACACCAAATTTGCCGCCTTACTTTATAATGAGCATAGCAGCTGCCCCTTTTGCGGACAGATGATAGACGATTCATTTCGCAATAACATTGTGCATATACTTTATTACAAAATTATTAAGTCAACTAAAAATACTCGTTAATTATTTGAATTACCTTGTAAATAACGTCGCTCATTCTTCTTAGAAGTAGCTACTTTCGAGTTTTTTACATCTTTTTGCCGTAGTCTTGCTTCCCTTTTATATTTCTGTTTATCTTCTAATACAATATAAAATTATTAAATTCGACAAATCTAATTCATATTGTCAGTAAATATTAATACCTTTTGAAAAAGAAATATCTTCTACAGAAGATTCATGGAGAGCATTTTGCATTGCATCTAACTAATTTAGTTAATTTAGCTTATTTATAAATAATCTGATTTTTAATCTCAATCACTAATTTACTAATTTAAGAACGTAAATATTTGAAATATTACAGTTGCTTGTGCTCCAATATCATTGAAGATTGCTGACGCTTTATAAGGATTCAGATTACATATAGTCACCTAAATTAGTCATTTAGCTGTCCAAAATCTGTTCTAGATTGAATTTGATTAGATAAACTACCGCAGGGAATTCAGTCATTTCAAATTTGAGCTAAAACTTTAAATTATTACTTTTCAAGTTTATATGCTCACATCAAGATCAACATTCTTTGGATATTCAAAGAATTTAACAACAAGATAAATAGTTTGGACTATTAGAATTGTAAAACAAACTGTAAAAACCTATTAGAGAATTTTTAGTGCGATACTATTTATAAATTATTCTCCTTACACCAAGCCAGAAGCGTCGCCATTTCATGTTCGGAGCAAGACCCGCATGACAAATGCCGTGTATAGTGGAATGCTTGAAAGATGAGTCCTATCTTATTTTTAATTGCATGTATGTACCTTCTCGAATTGATTAAGTATGCCTTGCAAATCCAAAGAATAGGCTGGAAACAATAAAAAATAATTCAAATTTTGGCAAAAGACTTACAAGCATTTTTGAAAGATGCTGCCCTTGAAAGTCTTCTTATCATTGCTCTTGGATTACGTCTGAAGGCGTTATAGCGATTTTCATCTTGCACAGAGCCCATCTCCAGCTTAACTGTTTTTCTTTTTTCAGGTATTAGCTTTTTCCTAGGTCGAAATTCACTCTCCATAGAATTTCGTGGTTCGTTAAATGGAATATTAGGCCTAGAGGTAGTTAACTTTTTCTTATTATCACTAACATTGCTATTTATTCTACTACGCATTTTAGCATTAATTTCGCTCATCCGACTGTAAAAATATTATAATTTAATTAATTATAGGGTTGAATATGAGGTCTGAATAACATGGAAGGGATTAACATACCAGTAAATAAAAGGGATTGAAAAATTGATTTAGATTTATCGGAAATGGGAAGTAAATGTGGTATTAAGAGCTAAATTTTATATCGACAACAGGTGTGTTCAACATAGTGGGATAAAATGAACAAACGTTTTGCAACATACATATATCAAAAAAGATAAGTCTAGAAAATTGACAATCCATCAAACTAATGTAGTGAAATTTGTCTTTATTTCCTATCAAGTTTTAATTCTACAAATATATATTCAAATTATCATAAGCTTAAACTAGTTGATTAATATAACTGAGTATTAGCCAGCAGGATCTTCCATTACATAATTATAAAATTTACATTTTCACAAAAAACAATTATTTTATTAGGTAATTTAAAGTTATACAATTATAATTCTTTTTTATTGGCAAAAAATTATTGTAGGAAGATGAATATACCCGTTTTTAAGAAAATAGGGTTGGACATAAGTAATTAATCAAGCTATAACTCAAGGCCTATTAGCGGAAAAATGGTATCTGATAATATCAGATTTGTCCAACCCTAAAATAAAATTAAATTTAAACAGTCATGCGTTTCCAAGTGCAGGTTCCGCACTCCAAATAGTTGGAGCGCGGAAAATGATGAGTACACAGCCGAAAAAACAAATAACAGTAAAAGTTATTAAGAAAATTCTATCCAAAACCATCGCCACAAATGTCCAGTCGTTTGAAATCTTTAAAATTACATTAAATTATCTATCTTTACAATTATTAGGTATGTAGGTAGGCTTAGTTAAATTTGGAGGCGGATATACTTTTGATACGGTATTGAAAATGGATGAAACTCACTCTTTGATCATCTTCTTCACGTTGAAAATGTTCAGCAATGAAGGCTACACTATCAACGGCACTTTTAAGCGGACTTTGCTCTCTATATAAACTGCCGTCTTGCTCTCTTTCTCTAGAAGTACTCGCGAAATGTGCTATAAGTCCAGAGCTCTCACGGCCATGCCCAGCTATTCTTTTTATAGCTTCTGCAGAGCTTGGAGCTGTATGTATCTCCATCTATATTGAGATAAAGTTATTATTTTATTATTCGTTTGATCAAGCAAAAAATTTCATTCATCATAAACCTGCTCAAGAATAGATTGTCGTTGTAGAGTCAGCCGCCTTTGACTTAAAGCTTCACGCTCCTTTTGTTTTCTTAAGACGGCATTAGGCAATAGATGTAGCTTAAATTAGATTATTATTACTTATTTACAAAAAATTCTTTAAATAACCATAATTGAAGTGCCCAAATCTTCTTTTGTTTTTCTAGATTTTTTACTTTTTTGTATCGGCCTCCTCATAAGTAGATAATAGGGTAAAATCTCAATAAATAATTTGCGGATCCAGGGCGACATCTGATAATTTTAATAGTAATTGTACTGTAATAGATAATAAACTTTATGTGTCGATGGATTCCGATAGTGAACATTTAATGTTAAACAAGTAGTAATGACCTGCAAATTAAATGAATTAATAGCTGGATAAGAACATAGGATACCGAAAGTGTAACCAGGACCATTGTAAAAAGAAGGTATTTGCCTATTAAAGGAATAACAAGCGAAGTAGAAGGAATGATTTCAACGAGAAGTAAAAAGAAGACTGTCAACGAAATAAGAATCGAAATACAAAGCGATATCTGAAATAATTGAAAAAATTGCCGGCATAAATAAATTTAACTTTTTCGCCGCCAGCTGACGGCAAATAGAATACAAGAGCTGTCAAAAAACTGATACCTACACATGGAATCTTAAAAAGCATAACATAAAAAATCAAAAATTGCTTTATTCTCAAAACTGACCATTAAATTGACCTAAAATTTTATTTGATTATCATTTTAAAGAAAATATTTTACAGTGTAGAAGAGCGTTTTTCGACGCAGATGTATCTCATAAGTAAGATCAATGAAAGGCGAAATACAGCAAGGATATCTATATATTATTAAAATTATTTCAATTAGACTTAATTAAAAACTTTTTCTGGTGCCGTTTTCCAGGCACACGCAGAATGTCCCACTCTACACTCGGATAATAATCATTTAGATCGATTCCATCATCAACAACCCAGACCTGAAAACTCTGATATTTACTGTTTTTTTTTCTAAAAACCGTTTCCCATTGATTCTCCCCATCGGGTCCAACTGTTAATTCTTGTTCCTCATGCTGCATCTGCTCGTTTTTATGCTTAATTTTAATAAATGTACATAAAAAGTATTTTTTATTCATATCAATTTTAAAAATTATTTTATTTTACTTTAAGATCCACTTCTAAACCACCATAGGTCCATGAACCTAGAAAGGATAACTTGAAATAATGGGTAAAAATAAGCAACCAAATTTCATTTCGCAAGTCTGAGCATCGAAGGGAAACCATTCAACATCGATTTGGCACATACTAAAAATAATAAAAAGTTATAAAAAGGATGAAGTCACCTCTTATAAATTGCTGGTGGAGTCCATTCAACAGTCCCATTATAGCTTAACTTTGCTTTATTCATTATTGTAACCTATGAAAATTAAAACGGATTTAATAGAAACAAGAAACCTGATAATTTCCATCCGCATTATTATAAAGGACAATATCAGGTAGCCAAATTAACTCAGACGGAACATAAAGAACCTCAACACCACCTGAAAGATTTTGGCTATTTTAAATATAATGATCATATTTTAAGCATAAGTGGCCATCAAATTAAAGAAAAATGAGAAAGGCTTACCATAATCTTTTGGATTCCAACATAATTTACTATCCGTCCAAATCTGCAGATAAATTGATTAATTTAATTTAATTCGAAAAAGTTTTACGTGTTGAAGCCAAACATTAGTTGTCATGATTTGCTGTTTTTCGTGCTAGTAAATATAAAAAATAATCCTTATGGAAATATTAATCCCACTGATACGATCTTAAATTATTTTCCTCATATACCTATTTGTATCGTAAAAGAATGTTAGTTAGAAAGAAATGAAATAGAGGGCCACCACAAGGTACCGCAAGGCCGTCGAGTTGCATCGAACCAGGGAAGTTATAGCTCCACGGCACATCGGCCCGATCCCGAAAAATGCTAATAAAGATTGAAACTACTCACCACATCCAGAAGCTGGCTGAGTTTTAGTTTAAATCTAACTACAAGTGTTGCATTATTCTCATCTACAGGTCTAACTAATTTGTTATAATCTGCTAAAATATCCTCAAAAAGTCTATTCTCTTCTTTTGTGGCACTACAAGGTCGGATAACTGTTGTGGCAAGAAAACACATTAGAATCAGGCAAGCAACTAAGTAATTTGTTGAGTTAAATATTGTTGTTAGGAGAACCGGCTTTTGCAAGCTCGTTGGATAGTAAACAAATAAATGTGAATCTAAAAAATGCAAGTTAGATAAGCAAAGAATCCTGAGACAATGACCGTATAAATGGCAGATTAATGAAGTTGCTGCAGTTTCTGTCGCTTGATTTTTATCATATAGTGAAAGAACGCGCATCGTTCACCATCGATGCTATTAAATTTAATGAAGGCGAAAGTGTGATTAATGAAGAGATAATAAGGGCTTCAATAAGAATATAAAAATTTTTCAAAAAGCAATGATCGTGCTTCTCAACAATGTTGATGATTGTGTCACAAACTGTACAAAATAATGATAATGAATAAAATTAAATAAAATTTTTAAGATAATCTTTTGATAATTTAGAAAAATTCATGCAAAAATCCAATTGTTTTTTTAACAAACCTATAGTATTTTGAATGTTCATTTTCTGGAAGAAGGCAATTTCATTACTTTATCGAACGAAAGCAGAAAGAATATTTTTCGAAAAGCTGAAAAAATGTCTCACAATTCGATTCTTATAGCCTAAAATCGAATATAATTTTAGTATTTTTGTGCGATTGTGATGAATGGCATAATGCCAGTAAATCCTATGGATTGACTCAGTTGTATATCCAAAGCGAAAAAATAAACATTAAATAAAAATATGTAGGTTATGCACATGTAGTAGGCAAGGGAAATTGAGCAATACTATGGCCAATCAATGTTTCTCGATGGAGGAAATGTGTAGTGGTTTGCAGCCTTTGGAGACAGTCGTAAAAAGAGGATAAGCACCATTTGGTAAGTTAAAAGAAATAGTGTGGCAAAATATATTCCTTTAGGCTGGCGTTTGAGGATTATAAATGGAGAATGCAATATATGCATGAGAGTACCTCTTAACGTTATTTTTGCTTTTTATTTTTAAGGTTATTTGAAGAATTGCCCGTTAGGAACAAGAGGTAATGGAAATACTTAAGTATTATCATGTACTTATAACAAGAGTCAACAGTGGAATTAAAACCTAGAAGTCAGTAAAAAGAAAACTAAACTAGCTGAACCAAATATAATAGATTTAGTAGTCTGTTAATGCCAAATCAGAATTTACGATCTGTTATCAGTCAGAAATGGATTTTGCTTACCACACTTTTTTGCCTTTTCTCGTAGTATTTTGTAAAATAACTCCTAATGATGATAAGCTAAAGCAGATGGGCTATAGTAGTTCTCTCCTTCAGCTAGTGAAAAAAGTTATTCGGCGGCTGGGAGCGAGCCAGCATCTTCAGTACAAGCATATTCAGTTCCCCTCCCAATATTCCTCTTTATTCTGGGTATGGATTCAGCATGGCTTCGGCACTATGGATTGTAGAATATGAATGAGGGCTGAACCTTTTTCTATAATATATCATTTTATATAAGTATATCTGCTTCAGATTGGTATGCAATCTCTTAAAAAATGCTCGTCCGCTCCTTTATGAATTAATGGATCACACTATGAATTGTAATCACAGTAATAAATCACTGGATATTAACACTATTAAAATTATCAAACTTTTTAATTGTGATCTATAAACCATTATTTCATTTTTAAAAAATTACAATGTGCAAGAAGTTTTAATCTTATTGAATTTTTTTAAATCATTAAAATGTTGCCTAGATGAACAGTTGTTTAATTCACTCTGTGTGCAATTCGAACAGAAAAAAGGCGTTTAAATTTATGGCAAGAACATCACCGGTTTAAATGTTCTATGGACGTCATTGTTTGAGAAGGGGATTTTGAAGTTAATTTAGTAATTCAGCAATAAATTTAACAGATAAATTTGCTACATTTTATTATATATCCATAGTTTTTATCTATATATCTATTTTAATATTTTGAAATTTTATTTTATGTATTTATCGCTAAACTATTGTAAATTTGAGTAAAATAGAACAATTAAAAGATTCCCAAAAAATTTTAAACGTGCATCATGCCAATTATCTTCAAGCAACAACGATTTAATAAGAAGCGGCATAAACCAGATCTGTCACATAGGAGAAAACCTCGAAGGTGTAATTTATATCGCTTAAGTTTTAGTTGGCAAAATCACTGGGACATTTAGTTATTTGTTCCTTTAAATAAACCTAAAAGGTTAAATTCATTAATTTTCAGACGCTTGTTGCACGCGGCACCAACTGCAATAAGGCGACTTTCAGTTCGCTTAACAGATGGAAGACAATTTCGCGCTGGAATGCATGGCATCCGTGCCCTTAGAAGACATAGTATTCGGGCTGGGCGTTCAATCTATCGTATCAAAGAAACCGGCTCTTCATTGCGAAAATATTTGAGGGTGTGTGATTAAAGAAATACATTTTAAAATTACTTTGTTAAAAAGTAATTTACAGGATCCAAAACTCGTGTTTCAGTTGGCCAAATACATTTACAACCGAAGACATCTAAAACACTTAATTCCATTGTTTTTTGTATTTTTTTATATGATCATAGGATCATTATTTTTTTATTATCTGGAAGCAAATGCAGAAATTGAAAAAATTATGGCAAAGTCATTATATAAATTTTAAATAGTAGTATTAATCATATTATTCCAGAAATGACGAATACGTGAAAGAAAGGTCGCTCTTTGTTAAAAGAATGGAAGAGTTAGTAGTTGATCTTGTTGCACGTGATCGTAATAAAAGACAGGAATTTATGGAAGAAGCAATTGATCATTTAAGTTGGCGTCTTAGTTATGAATTAGCATCTAAAAAATCAGAATGGTCTATCCCAACATCATTGTGAGTTTTATGATTATTTATGATAAAAATAAACTATTTTCGTGAATGCTAAGGTATTTTTCCGGCACTATTTTCACAACAATTGGATATGGAGATGTGGCATGTACAACTTCCATTGGCCGGCTTGCTACAGTACTCTATGCTTTATTTGGAATCCCATTGATGCTAGTTTGTATTTATTAGTCTAATAGAACATAATGTAATTAAATATCCCATTAATTAAGACTACATGGAATGAGATGGGGAAATTCCTCTACAAATCAATTAATGAATTTATTGTCCTTCTTGGTAAAAACTGGATTAAATTCAAAGATTTTTTGCACAGTTCATTCTACAAGATACGCCAAAAAATATCTGGTTTATGTTGTTTGAGAACAATTAAAAAAGACAATATGAGGAAATCCCGAGGATCAATTAGTTCAGAAGATCGCGGGAGTAGTGATAATAGCTCATTAAGACAGTTAGAACAAGTAAAGGCAGTTAGCTTCAAGTTGTCCATGCAAATGCTACAAGCAGCTGATTGTATTAAATTACGGAATAATGTTCAAAAATGCAATGAAGGGAGTGAAATCGACCCTAAAAATGGTTCTGAGCATTCAGAAAGTGTCAGTTCGAGCGATCAGCAATTGAGTGAAGAGAGTGTGATGGAAGTTAAAAATGATAATGAAAAACTAGAAGGATCTCTCAAATCCAATGCTAGCAGTAAAAATTCTGATATTACAAGCGAATTGTCTGAAGAGGATTTAGATCAAAATCCGCCTGATGCACCAAGGATGCACGTATTGGTACAATTTTTTGTCATTTATTTTTAAAAACTCCCTCGAGAATTTACCAAAGTTAAGATAAAGACATTTCGATTTTTTATTTGTTAATTTATAATTAAATTGACAAAGGTGGCCATTGCTTGCACTTTCTCGTGGATCTTCCTTTGTGCAGGCCTCTTTCAATTATGGGAGGTTAAAAATATTTTAGTAATTCAATTATACCTTAAATAATACATAGGAATGGAGCTATTGGGATTCACTTTATTTTATGTTTATTTCGCTGCTAACAATTGGACTTGGAGACGTTAATGTTCAAAGACGTGATTTAGTAAGTAATAATGATTATTTCTGTATTACAAATTACATTTTTATTTAAAAAAATACTATTCAAAATTACTATTAAGATGATGTTATGCTTCATTTTTGTAATGATTGGCCTTTCTCTAGTTTCGGTAACAAGATTAATATGGGTTAAGTTTTTATTTCATTATCTTAGATGTGCATAATGGTTATTCAACTTTCACTAGAAGTTATAATTTACTAAATTTAAAAATATTTAAATTTTTTCTTAAATAAATTAAACTTTTAATAAAACAGGATTTCTACAAGAGAATGATTGTCAAAGTAGTGACAGACTATCAAATAAAAATAGTGAGAGGTAAAAATCAAAGGAGGTCATCAATGGGCAGTATAATTAAAAACAATGGAAAAGGCAAATATCTAATTCCTATGAAAAAATGTATCTTTCAAATGGTGCCACAGGTATAATAACAACAGATTAGTGCATATTAGAGTTGAGGAATCCTTAAAGAAACATAGGAAAACTTAAATTCATCTCCTATTAATAGAATGGAATATTTTAGAGTACCAAGAGACATGTTCTAGAAGAAGTCGAGGAGGAGGCTCGCGAATCTGGCATAAAATTACCGCCATCTTTGAAAAATCATAATACTGTTGATCAAATCATATTTGACGACAAAAAAGTAATTTAACTATTAATTTGAATTAATTCTTTATGAAATACAATTCAAAATTTAATCAAGGATTTTTCTGATATTTATGAGGATACGCCAGTAATAGTAATTAATGGAATTCTTAAACAAGAACCTTCATTAAAAGAACAACATAAAGATACTGAATCTCCACAAAATTTAACGTACCACAATATTCAGAAGAAATTGGAAAGTTGTACACAAACATATGGAGTTCAAATTCGTGAAAGGTAATAAAAATATAAAAATAAAATTAATTATCTCTTTTTAGCTGTGTCCAAATCAAACCATCTACTGAAGTTAAAGGCGTACAAACTACTATGTTGCAAGAGGATTTAGCTAGACAGAAGAAGCATATTGACAAAGATGAAATAATGACCGATGCTGCTATACAGACAGATCGTTTGCGGTTGTCATTTAAAAAGCTCCAAATACGTTCCAGGCGAAGTGATGCTGAAACAATGACAACAAAAGCTTTAGGACAGATAATGGTAATTTTATTTTGGCAATTTTTCTTTTGAACTCTGGAAATTTAATTCCTTATAAAATGTATTTGGAAATTTAGAATGTAAAATCCCAAACTGATAAGAATCACTTCACTGGAGATCAAGAAATTCAGACTTGGATACCTTTCGAGTTGGTCGACCTCTACGAAAAGGATGTTTGTATCATTTAAAATTAATTTCTAATTTAAAATTAATTATTCTAAAGAAATACTTAATTTATCTCAATACATTATCTTTCAGACACAAACATATAGATTCATGAAAAGTCAACGAATCCAGACTCCAAAACCTTTGCTTAATGATGCACAAACACAAAGTCATAACAGTGATCTTAACGGACAGATTTATCCATCAGTTTCAATGTTGAAAATGTTTTTAAATCCTATTGATAACAATACCGATATTGCATAAATTATTATTATGATTTAATTTATAAGGCCTGTATTTTAATAATTTAATTATAGAAAATTGTGATATACATAAAGTTTCAGGAGAAAAACTTTTGTAAAAGCTTTAATTATAATACATCTCATTATATCATTTTTTGCATGGACCATTAAAGTTTCATTTTCATCTTTGATATAATACGTATTTTGCCTACGCTATTTCAAACGCATTTTTGCATTCATTAATGAAAGGCCATTAACTTTTTATTTTTCCTCCATTTATCCTTTATAGAAATTAATATTGAATGCTTTTGGTGTAATCAAATTAAAGCTTCAAATCTCAAATAATTTTAAGGTTTGACAATAACTTTTAAAAATTCCATTAATTCTATAAATTATTTTTATTTTTCATAATTTAATTTGTGATTTTACACATCCATTTTAAATCCCATGCGAATTCCTTTTTCAATAACGGCGATAAATTCTGCTGCCCTTATTATATTTTTGCTTTTATTTATCCTTTTTATCCAAACAAACAGTAGTGACTCAATGCTATCGCCTCTTAGTTTTCCTCCAGAAACTTATTCGGTTTGTTTAGTTGAGAATTCATTTCGGTTAAAAGTTAATTTACAGATAAAGATCTTTGATGACAATGCACCGTTTTGTCAAGTTGAAGGTGAACCATGCGGGTTTTTTGATATATCGCTAAACGGAAATATACACTTTGATTGGATTAAATCTTGGTGGGATTGAATATATCTACTTAAAGTTTATAATTTATGCTACACAGGTGTAGATGTCCTGCTACTCACGAGTGTCTTTTTGTCGAACATGATTTGCGACATAAAGTCTACAAGTTTGCATGCATGAGAATCGTAGAACAACAAAAGTATCTTTATGGCAATGGCCAGTCTAGTCGAAGCAGGAATAGGATAATTGTAAGCCGATCAAGACACGGAAGAAGGCGGAGTGTGAAATGAATTAAGACATCCTTTATTTAAGAGGAAACTATAAACGAAATTTTAAAATTCATAAATATCAAATATTTAAATGCTTATAAATAAAGTTGGCATTCCAGTTTTTAATTTTCTACATTAAAGACAAAAATTATAAATTATATAAATGAAAGATTGCTAAAAATAGCAAATTTTAAATAAAGTTATCTCATTTTAAGTGATAGTAACTTCTTCAACAGAACTCAACTCTGAAAAATAATTAAATATACGTGGAACTAAATCTAATCTAATACCGCTCAGGTAGTAGCCCCAATATCTGATTAAGTTAAAAAATATGATTCAAAGTAATAAAAGTATAAACGTACCCAAAATTGAAAATAAAGTAGGCGGTTGGAAAGAAGATGGCACTTAAATAAAAAGTATGCGAATTAGATTGTAAATAAATACGTCAAGCACCTGTATTTGTCAACCTGCTCAGGTGTTATTTGACGCACCCTATGCCATAATCTTTTAATACAGCAAGATGGGCCTTCTTCATTTTTTAAAAATTTATTTTGTTTATGGCCCTCCCGTGAATAAGTTTGTGATGTCATTCTGAGATTGAAAAGTGGAGCTCCAGAGAAGCTTCCTGTTGAAGTTTTCTCAACAGATGACATTTGAGAATCAAGCAAATGATTTGGCGCTTGAAATGATGGAATCATGAAAGAGGTAGGAGCACCACCATAATCTAGCATATTATCTTCTTTTTTCTATTGTAAAAATGAAAATTGGTAGACAAGATTTCAGAATCAGTATAAATTACGTTGACCAAACTGGCTTCATTACTCCCTTTGCATTTTTGCAAAGAAGAATAATGCTTGTCAACCCAAAACTGAAATAGACTATCTTAAGATAATCTGATATTTTAAAGATAATTAAGATGCCTGCTTAAGACCCATCTTTGGACTTGGCATATCTTTCCACGCTGAAATTTCCGTAATATTGTTCGATGTAATATTACGTCTGCCTCTACTGTCTAATTGAGATCCCAAAACTATCCCGCCACCTTCATTACGAGACATAAAACCAACAACTGCAAGTTCCAGAAGCGACAGAAATATAAACATCATTCTAAATATTGGGATATTATGCTTAAACTTGAAAAAACCCTGAGAGCATCCAAACATCAATAGCCTAAAATGTTGCGTTTAGTCAAGTAAAATTAAAAACATTAATAAAATGATTCAGAAATTACATATTATGACACATAAAAATTCATAACTACCTTGATATAGGATACCCGAGGTAGATTACTGAAATGATTAAATATATTTAATTAATTAGAATTAAAATGCCGAATAATGTTGCCGAATTGAAAAGTCATGGCTGAGATAAGAATAGATAAATAAAAATTTTATAAAACAACCCAATAAGGCATTGACGCCTAACATTGTGCGAGCAGGAATAGCACTAAAATAAATATCAAAATTAAATACTTAGATTTTCTAATCGAATACCGTGATCCAAGATAAAACGAAATCCATGATATAAATATAGTAACATAACTAAAATATAACTCAACATAAACAACGAATTAAATGCAAATTAAACTGACGTTGGAACATATCCTGTTATTAAATGTAAATTAGATAGTTTAATAAACGTTTTGAGAAAAAAAACCATCAAAAATATTTATTTATTTGACTACCTTGAAGTATGTACCAACCATAACGGCGTTTGAAAACAAAGGCAACAGTAAGTTCATCCCACCAGCCAGCCGGGTATATCTAATAATTGTCAATAATTTAAAAGGGGACTGTCATTGGACAACAATTACAATTAACTATCAATTACCTGTTCAATCGCAATCACACTAAAATTAATCAACACAAAATCAGGCAGTTCTATTGATTTGAGCAACATGACTAAAATAAGCAAATATTTCTAATAAAACTACAATTAATAAAAGCAAAAATTCAAGAAAAAATCGAAGATATTATTAGAGGTAATTTTCTTTCAATACAATCATAAACATGGATTTCCTAAAATTATTTGATTTTGACTAAATGTCTGACCCGGATATGAATCTTTCCATTCCATACGAACTTCACCTATATTGTAATTGAAGCTAAATTAATTAAAATTTATTTAAAAAAGCATTGAAGATCACTAACGATTCGAATGTAAGAAAACATTTTTGTTGATCAAAAGGGAAGCTAAACATGAAAAAGTTAGCTATGACCATAATCAAACCGCTTTAAGTTCATATCACAAGGACCTGTGACCTTCATTCGATAATTTGTCCAAACAGTTGAATTAGAAAAAATCATAAGAAAAATATTTCTGAATTAAAATATATTTTAATTCTAATCAAATGTTTTTCTTAAGAATAAAATCAGTTATAGACTTGCCTGAATGGGCTTTCGTGAATGGCAGCCATTTTCGAATTAATAAAGCCTTAGAAAAATGTTTATTTTTAGAATAAAATTACATAAAACTGAATAGCTTAATCTATGAAATTTCACTTAGATTATGATAACTAATTCTATCCATATTAGCTAAACAAGAGTGAAATGAAATTAAGCTAGAAACATAGTGAGGATAAATGATTAATTTTCATACATGTGTTCGGTATCCATAATCTTTGAAGCACCTTGTCGTCGAACGAAATATTATTTTTACAGGGATTCTGAATAATCACCGTTATAAAAAGTAAAATTATTAGGTGGAAAAAAGTTACTTGTGTAAATTTACTAGTAAAGTTTATCTTATTTTAGTGACAAAAAATTTGGACAATAAATTACCATGTAGTCGAAAACAAGAGCAGGATCCTCCCTAAAACTAAATAAAGTGAAATTTGTAGTTAGTCAAATATTGACCAAAATTCGTTTATGTATAAATCAATCTCAAAGTCTTGTGTTAGTTCACTCACAGCAGTTACTTCCTGCACCCACATATCAACTCGGACATGTACAGGATATGAAGGAATATAATGCTGAAAAATGAATATAAAAAGTAAAAATATTAAATAAAGATTTGACTGAGTTGAAAAAGACAAAGGATCAACAAGTAAGTGAAAATACCTTATTATAAGAATCCTTGAGAAGATTATCAATCACCTCGGTATCATTAGCACAAGATGGTCGGAGATTAAGTAGATTGTGGCTTGGTGGCAACTTCCCAAAACCGCCGTATGAACTAAGAAGTTCAGTTAAGAAGGAAACAATCATCCATGAAGGATGCCCCATATGCTAGATAAAAAATGTTTATGAAAATAATATAGATAATGACAAAATAATAGTAATAATTTGGCTGTCTTTAGGACGAATAGCAATGAAAAATAGACAGAATAATAACGAAATTTTATGGCAAATCCGTCTTGTTAAGAAAAATTGCAAATAAAAATTGATTCCAAGAATAAATCATTATTAGAGGGTGGCACGTTTAAAATTAATATTTTCAAATAAACAATAACAGAATGAATAGCAGATTTAAAAAACTTATTAATAATTTAAAAGTTTCTTAAGGTCCACTATATGTTGCTAAGGAATAGTACATCCATAAATAAAGATGAACAGGGAAGTTGTGTATGCATGTATTATAACAAAATTGAAAAATATTGCATTTAAAAGTTAAAATAAAATAATAAAAATATTTAAAAAAAGAAAAAAATTTAAAAATGGATAAAAACAAATAAATATAAATGCAGTGTCCCAAATAATGTAAATGGCAAATCCAATAAACATTTCTTTAAATTAAACGAATGTGCAGAAAAAGAAAGATTTGAAAAATGTGGAGAAGAAAGTGTGTTGAATAAATTCAATTTACATGCTTCATTTAAAGTTAAAACATATAGTTAGCAGATATTTATTATTAAATTTCGAAAATATACAGCCAAATGAATTTAAAAAAAGCAAAAAGTAGGGATATGATTTTATGGAAGGCCACATTAATCCCTTTAAATCTCCGGATATACTCCAAATCCAACCTTCAACAAATTAAGAGTAGATTTGCAACCCGATCCCGTAGTACGACCCAGTGCACGACAGATTTTTTTAAAATTTTCCGGACCGAATCACTGCCCCGAAACAATTCGAAGACCTTCCCACGACCCAGAAAGTTTTCGGGGTATAATTTTTAAAAATTGACGATGCAAAAAACCTAAAGCCAAACAGCGTTCTAAAAATGTATTATCTATCTTATATTTATTATAAGAATTTTTCCAAGATGGATAATTTTATCTATTAGATGAATATCAGGCTTAAAATCGCCGAGTACAGAAGTCAAGAAAACGGCGATTTCCAATAGGTGAATCGTCAAAATTTAATCAGGAAAAGCAACAATTTTCAGATAAAGCTGAACTACCACCTCTCTATGAGTGGTTTCCTTCTGGCCTTAATGGAGGATGTCGATAAACAAGTGCTAACTCTGCTTGGTTTACAGATTAGCGGATATCTTGATGGTTTGCGCACTATAGCTCGTCCAGAAGAACATGATTTGGAAGATGTAGTATCCTGCTTATCCTGTTTTATCGATTCGGTGCTTTTATGAATAAAACTGTTTTATTTTTCCTGTTTAATTTTATTTTTTAAAATTTTGCCCTTTTGGACATTTTGTGGGTTTTTGGCCTTTTGGCCATTTTATGGATGCCCATTATATGGATTGGACATTTTGTGGGTTTTTGGCCTATTCGCCATTTTATGGGTTCCCATTTTATGGATGGACATTTTATGGGGGAGCCGGGTGGACCCGCCGTGGATAATAAAAGTATGTAGAAGTTAGAGAGTGCGATGAGAGAAAATAATTTCATTCTGTCAACTATGAGACGGTTAGATTGTTATTGATTTTTTGTATTTTATCAAAGTATCGATTTTTTACTCGTTACATGTTTTTCATTTCTTTTGTTTATTTTTTATTTTTTTGATTCCTTTCTTATTGCTTCCACTCTACTCCCCCATGGCAGATTCGTGAATAGTCTTCAAGGCAATCCTTTTTCGGTCCTGTTTTTCTAATCCTGTTACGGATCCTAGAATCCCGAGTTCAAGGGTTTTTGTCAAGAACGAAATTCGTTCTTTGAGTTAACGAATTTTCCGTTTTAAAAGACCGAAATAAATTGTCATCAATTTTTCTGGCATTAGCCTAAAATGTTTTAATTTTCTGTCGAATACATATTCGCAAATATGTGAAATTTTACGCCGTAAGCTATGCGCCTAATTTTACTATTTGCTTTTACTTTTCATCGTATTTATTAGACACTGGTCTGATTCTTAAACCGATTTATTATTATTTTGTTTGGGTGTAGAGGTTAACATTATCGTTTACGGGCCACCCATTTCCTCCTCATAGTTCTTTCCGAAAAATGAGTTCAGACCCCCTTCTTCAGTTCAACTCTACTTCCCTATAGCATGTTCATGAACGTCGTCATAAAAATTTGAGGAAGAAAGCCGACAAGTATGGACATATTAGGGAAAAAACTTGGGAGGAAAAATGGGCCCATAAACAACAAATTTCCTGCCAAAGCCTTAATATTTCTTGATTTTTGTTTTAGAAAATTAATTCTAAATTTATCGAAAAATAAGCGATTGTTGTATGACTGAAGACAAACAACTTTTCCTATTCGGACATACGCTTCTGGAGAACGAGATCTTTTGCTTGAAAGGTTAATTTTGTTTTTACTTGTATTATTTCGAATTTTCAGGACTAAAGAATGCGCAGAAAAACGAGATAAAGGCTATTGCTCTACTTCGCCTGGATGTACCGTGCTTCGAAAAATTCCAGCTGAAGATGTTTTGCAAGTTACTGCTGGTATAATTATGTTGCCTTTCTGCTAAAGGTTTTATTTCACAGTAGGGTTGTGGGTTAGTTCTTTGGTTTGGTTGCCCTAGAATTTAATGTCGTTTGAATCCGGATTTCTTCGATTCGTTTACGGATTTCCGAAGATTTTCTAAGAACGAACAACCTAGTTCACATTATACCTCCTCTATTTATACATTTTAGGATCATCGAGTCGCTCGTCTTCGTTATAAAATTGTTGCCAACACTATTGAATCTACCGCCCCAACAGGCAAAAGTATTTTTTATTAATCTTTTAATTTTTAAAACGTTTCTTTATTTGAGATGAATCCGGCCCTGGTTCATCAACTGCTCCAGTTACCACCACTGCTGTTTCCTCTGATCCAGCGTCAGCTTCTGCAAATGCGGCTGCAAACGCCGCAAATCGGACTGCCAAAATTCGGGTTTTTTTGCTTTTTTTTTAATTTTGAAATTTATTTTTAGCGAATTATGATGACACGCCCAGGGACTCGTTCTGGCGGATTTTGCCGCACTGGAGTTGTGATTGATAGAAACCGTTCTCGACCAATGATTCCTGCATCTTCCGTTCCGGAAGATTTAATTGTGCAATGCCAGGTTTCTATCCTTTTTATGGCTTTATTGAAATATCTTTAGGTTGTTTTACAAGGCAAATCTCGTGATGTGATCGTTCGTGAATTACAACGCACTAATTTAAATGTCAACGAAACAGTCAACAATTTACTTTCTCGTGATGATGATGAAATGGATGATTTGGATGACACAAGTGAGGCCTATCTTCACGAAGAGTTGCTTTCCTTGCTCGATGCTGGTCGTCGTTTTGATGGAAGTGGTGCCGCGGCAGCCGCGTTACTTGATAGCGACAGTATTTATTCCGCTGGAGATGGCTACGAATACTTGATTTCTCGTGATTTGGCTAGACGCAAGGGCGAAGGTTTAAATTTGAAAAATTTTTTATTTTTAACATTTCAATTTAATAGACAAAACAAAAGACCAAAACAAAGAAAATGAGGACAGTTCCTCTACAATCCAGGAACATTTCTTTCTTGGTGAGCGCTATACTTACTGGGGCTTAAATGGCAATGATGCTGCTGATGGTTCAACAAAATTCCACTTTCCTGATGACGTTACAAATTTGTAAAAATCGTCTCTATGCAATCTGAACTTATTGCGCTTGCTGATAATGGAAAGATTTATGGTTTGAGTTGGGAGATTGATTTGAAGCCAGCAATTCTCCACATGTTGCAAACTCCATTCTTTTCTCATCCATTGGTATTTTATATTAATTTGCCTAACATTTGTGAATTTTTTAGATATAGAAGGAGAAGGCGAAGCTGACTCCATTTCTAATATCGAATCTTGTGGGCTTCGCGCAGCTGTCCTTTCAAAAAGTGGCCTTGTTGGATCATTTGTTGACATCTCATGTGGCAATAGACTGGGCCGTCTACTTTCTGAATCGCCTATCGAGTTGCCTGAACCTGTCGACAAGTTGCTCTGCTGTACGCTTTATAGTGCTGTTTTACAAAAAATGGGAATGTATTTTGGAGGTTGTTTCTTTAAAATTTACGTCTCAAGAATTTTTAATTTAAGAGGAATTTACCAATTTAATGAGCGCAGAAAAATATGGGAAAAATTACGCGCTCGCAAAAAACAAGTCACTTTTGAATCGTGTGGATCAGAGATTGTTGTTGGAAGCGAGGTTTCTATTCAATTTATATTTCGTTTAATTTAATCTTTTCTTTTAAGGTGCTAACAAAATCTACTCCAATTTATTCATTTGGTTCTATTGCTGTCAACTTTAGTCAAGGAATTCCATTGGTTTTTCTATGCTGTTTTTTGATTTAACTGATCTTTCAGATTGGTGTTTTGTACGAGGATGCATGGACTCTGAACGAGACTTGTCGTTTCCGTGTCTTTGGGTTATTTAAATTAAAATATATTTTAAATTTCAATGTTTTTTAGAAGTGCGAATGCAAGCCGAAACGAACAACGAAAATGAACAACGACGAAACGAACAACGACAAATGCAAGCCGAAACAAACAACGACAATCATCAACAACTGCTCAACCTTTATCCGGTTCTGGTTCAACCTCTGCAAATAATAATTCTGATTTTGCTGGAAAAGAAAGTTCATGGAACCTGAAAGATTGTATATTTATTCATGAAGAGGCAGTTAATGATACGAGTATTGTTAAAATTGTAATTTTTTTTAACAAACGTGTGGGAAAGTCTTTAACTTGTATTTAGAAATTGGTGTTGGGTCTTGTCTGTCTCTCTGGTCTTCTCCTGGATCCAGACTTTGATTTTCCCTGGCTTTAGAATCAAGAGCAAGGCTTTTTCGGGGTTCCATAATTCTTCCTTTGACTTTGATCTTTCCTTGACTCGTGTTATAGGATCAGATAAAGGGTTCTTTAAATCTCGATTTCTACTTATAATGATTCTTTCTCACTCAGGTCGATGGTGCTTATTGTGGAATTGTTTTCAAATCTACAATGGAAAAGCTTGAATTTGAACCATCCACAGATTTAAGCAAAATGGGAATTAGACGTATGCGCAAAGATGATTTAGTTCTAGTTTCTTCCTCATCGCGTGGTTCAAGATCTCCAGAAAATTTTCAAATGCAATTTAAACAAATCCGTCTATCATCCGCTGTTAAACAAGTTTTATCTGTTGCAGTAGATTTGACAGGTTTTAAAATAAATTTAAGAAGGAAGAAATTAAAAATTTTTTAGGATTTCGTGTCTTGTGTGACTCAAATGCCTCGTCATTGGGTCGTCTTCTAAATTTAAATGATTTACAAAATCGTCTATTCGGTGATGATGGCTCTAAAACTGAACAAATCGAGTGGTCTTCCACAGGATGTTACTACTAATTCTGATGCTATGGAAATATGCACTGCTACAAATGATGGTGATTCGAAAAAACTGAGCCCTCCGGTTTTCAATGCATCTCAAAGATCTATCGGACGATGGAATCGAAAATTTCATTTGGTGCAAAGGTTTTTTTAATCTAGTATAAATCTTTAAAAAATGTTTTTTTAGAATTTCCATGACGATATCACAAAATGGTTTGGTGGTGATTCTTCTCATTGTGTTCTTAGTGATAAAAGCGGAGGTTTTTAAATTTTTTATATGCCTAATTCAGTTCATTATATTTAAGTTTCTTCATTTAATGTCCGTTATGCTCAATTCCTTAAGCAGATGGATAGACTCAAAAGTACCCAAACGAAAGATTTAGTCTTCAGTGTATGTTTTAATTTTTAGGTGCTTTTGGTAATTTTAAAATTTCAGCAAGTCCGACATGAAAAGTATGTTCTTCTTCAACAAACCTCCAAACAACTAAATTACCACGATGTTTGTCGAACGAGTGGGGCTAGTGGATGTTATCTGATGGCTCCTGAACTTCAACAGCTACACAAGAAAATGTTTTATTGGTAGAAGTGTTTATGATGAGCATTGGGCTGAAATTTGATGATGAATTACAAAGATGAGAGAAGCTAAAAAATGTGGCAAAGATGCTTCCGCCACATCTTAAGGTCTAAAAGACATTTTAATGAAATATGTTTTTATATTTTTTAGTGCTTTTCCGTTTACGTCGATTTTTTTGTTTTATTTTTTTAAGCCAAAATGTTATCAAAACAGCAAAATTCTTAGACGCAAAAACGGAAAAGCACAATTAAGCCACTTGTAAAAAAAGGATTTTTGCGGATTCGTTTAGAAGAAAGCAAAAAGGCCTTTTATTTACAAGTGGTATTTTTTATCACATTATTTTTTTGTTGGTTAAAAATGGGTTTGGGCCCTCCGTCCCCGGGTTTACCCATCACCCAACTCTTACAAGCCCCTAGAGCTTCAGAACTTCTGAACTCCAAAACCGATCCAACTTGACGACCTCTATAATGAAACAGCCAGATAGATTCCACACGGTATATACATTTAATACCGCCAACATCGAATTGCAAAAACTATTTTAGGTTCAGGCTTTCATACCTCCGAGTTATATCCAAAGGCACGGGTTCTTATTCAATAGGTGTAGACAGTAGGGCACTTAGAGCTTAGATTTGATTAGAACCCCCCCCCCCCTTCCTGCACTTCAACGGCTCGTCTACAACTTCAACTGCTCCTGCCAGCCGTCTACAACTTCAACTGCTCCTGCCGGACTTCTACAACTTCAACTGCACCTGCCAGCCGTCTACAACTTCAACTGCTCCTGCCAGACGTCTACAACTTCTCCTGCACCGACTCTAGTGTCCCCTGGGCCCCGACACGGTACTCCAATGAACCCCCGGGTCCAAGATGGTGCTCTACTGTCTATACCCATTTTATAAGACTCCTGTCTTCCACCTATCCCAAGTCTGACCCAAATGTCACTCCCCAACATACCCCGGACAAAACGTCACTCCCCAACATGCCCCGGACAAAAGGTCACTCCCCAAAATGCCCCGGACAAAACGTCACTCCCCAATTCGCCCCGGACAAAACGTCACTCCCCAATTCGCCCCGTCACTCCCAAAATGCCCCACACTGAAAATAACCCGCACTGAAAATCCCGCACTGAACTGACCGACCCCCCTTCTCAAAAAATTTTCTCTCCATAGGTTCAGGCTTTCATACCTCCGAGTTATATCCAAAGGCACGGGTTCTTATTCAATAGGTGTAGACAGTAGGGCACTTAGAACCTTAGATTTGATTAGAACCCCCCCTCCCCCCTTCCTCTAAAATTTAGTTCGAAAATTTCAGAATTTCCTCGGAAAATTCGAACTAAAAATTTAGTTCGAAAATTTGAGATTTTCCTCGAAAAATTCGAACTAAAATGTCCCATCCCCAATTCGTCCCACTAACAAAATGTCAAACCCCAATTCGTCCCACTGACAAAATGTCAATCCTCATTTCGTCCCACTGACAAAATGTCAATCCCCAATTCGTCCCACTGACAAAATGTCACTCCCCAATTCGTCCCACATTTTTTTTGTTCCAGAATTTGCTCCATTTCTGGAACAAACCCCAAAAACGTTTTGTTCCAGAATTTGCTCCATTTCTGGAACAAACCCCAAAAACGTTTTGTTCCAGAATTTGCTCCATTTCTGGAACAAACTCTGAAAACCCGGCACCAAAATGACCGACACTGAAAATCCCGCACCGAACTGACCGACCCCCCTTTTTTAAAGAATCCTCTCCATAGGTTCAGGCTTTCATACCTCCGAGTTATATCCAAAGGCACGGGTTCTTATTCAATAGGTGTAGACAGTAGGGCACTTAGAACCTTAGATTTGATTAGAACCCCCCCTCCCCCCTTCCTCTAAAATTTAGTTCGAAAATTTCAGAATTTCCTCGGAAAATTCGAACTAAAAATTTAGTTCGAAAATTTGAGATTTTCCTCGAAAAATTCGAACTAAAATGTCCCATCCCCAATTCGTCCCACTAACAAAATGTCAAACCCCAATTCGTCCCACTGACAAAATGTCAATCCTCATTTCGTCCCACTGACAAAATGTCAATCCCCAATTCGTCCCACTGACAAAATGTCACTCCCCAATTCGTCCCACATTTTTTTTGTTCCAGAATTTGCTCCATTTCTGGAACAAACCCCAAAAACGTTTTGTTCCAGAATTTGCTCCATTTCTGGAACAAACCCCAAAAACGTTTTGTTCCAGAATTTGCTCCATTTCTGGAACAAACTCTGAAAACCCGGCACCAAAATGACCGACACTGAAAATCCCGCACCGAACTGACCGACCCCCCTTTTTTAAAGAATCCTCTCCATAGGTTCAGGCTTTCATACCTCCGAGTTATATCCAAAGGCACGGGTTCTTATTCAATAGGTGTAGACAGTAGGGCACTTAGAACCTTAGATTTGATTAGAACCCCCCCTCCCCCCTTCCTCTAAAATTTAGTTCGAAAATTTCAGAATTTCCTCGGAAAATTCGAACTAAAAATTTAGTTCGAAAATTTGAGATTTTCCTCGAAAAATTCGAACTAAAATGTCCCATCCCCAATTCGTCCCACTAACAAAATGTCAAACCCCAATTCGTCCCACTGACAAAATGTCAATCCTCATTTCGTCCCACTGACAAAATGTCAATCCCCAATTCGTCCCACTGACAAAATGTCACTCCCCAATTCGTCCCACATTTTTTTTGTTCCAGAATTTGCTCCATTTCTGGAACAAACCCCAAAAACGTTTTGTTCCAGAATTTGCTCCATTTCTGGAACAAACCCCAAAAACGTTTTGTTCCAGAATTTGCTCCATTTCTGGAACAAACTCTGAAAACCCGGCACCAAAATGACCGACACTGAAAATCCCGCACCGAACTGACCGACCCCCCTTTTTTAAAGAATCCTCTCCATAGGTTCAGGCTTTCATACCTCCGAGTTATATCCAAAGGCACGGGTTCTTATTCAATAGGTGTAGACAGTAGGGCACTTAGAACCTTAGATTTGATTAGAACCCCCCCTCCCCCCTTCCTCTAAAATTTAGTTCGAAAATTTCAGAATTTCCTCGGAAAATTCGAACTAAAAATTTAGTTCGAAAATTTGAGATTTTCCTCGAAAAATTCGAACTAAAATGTCCCATCCCCAATTCGTCCCACTAACAAAATGTCAAACCCCAATTCGTCCCACTGACAAAATGTCAATCCTCATTTCGTCCCACTGACAAAATGTCAATCCCCAATTCGTCCCACTGACAAAATGTCACTCCCCAATTCGTCCCACATTTTTTTTGTTCCAGAATTTGCTCCATTTCTGGAACAAACCCCAAAAACGTTTTGTTCCAGAATTTGCTCCATTTCTGGAACAAACCCCAAAAACGTTTTGTTCCAGAATTTGCTCCATTTCTGGAACAAACTCTGAAAACCCGGCACCAAAATGACCGACACTGAAAATCCCGCACCGAACTGACCGACCCCCCTTTTTTAAAGAATCCTCTCCATAGGTTCAGGCTTTCATACCTCCGAGTTATATCCAAAGGCACGGGTTCTTATTCAATAGGTGTAGACAGTAGGGCACTTAGAACCTTAGATTTGATTAGAACCCCCCCTCCCCCCTTCCTCTAAAATTTAGTTCGAAAATTTCAGAATTTCCTCGGAAAATTCGAACTAAAAATTTAGTTCGAAAATTTGAGATTTTCCTCGAAAAATTCGAACTAAAATGTCCCATCCCCAATTCGTCCCACTAACAAAATGTCAAACCCCAATTCGTCCCACTGACAAAATGTCAATCCTCATTTCGTCCCACTGACAAAATGTCAATCCCCAATTCGTCCCACTGACAAAATGTCACTCCCCAATTCGTCCCACATTTTTTTTGTTCCAGAATTTGCTCCATTTCTGGAACAAACCCCAAAAACGTTTTGTTCCAGAATTTGCTCCATTTCTGGAACAAACCCCAAAAACGTTTTGTTCCAGAATTTGCTCCATTTCTGGAACAAACTCTGAAAACCCGGCACCAAAATGACCGACACTGAAAATCCCGCACCGAACTGACCGACCCCCCTTTTTTAAAGAATCCTCTCCATAGGTTCAGGCTTTCATACCTCCGAGTTATATCCAAAGGCACGGGTTCTTATTCAATAGGTGTAGACAGTAGGGCACTTAGAACCTTAGATTTGATTAGAACCCCCCCTCCCCCCTTCCTCTAAAATTTAGTTCGAAAATTTCAGAATTTCCTCGGAAAATTCGAACTAAAAATTTAGTTCGAAAATTTGAGATTTTCCTCGAAAAATTCGAACTAAAATGTCCCATCCCCAATTCGTCCCACTAACAAAATGTCAAACCCCAATTCGTCCCACTGACAAAATGTCAATCCTCATTTCGTCCCACTGACAAAATGTCAATCCCCAATTCGTCCCACTGACAAAATGTCACTCCCCAATTCG